TCTTGATTTCAATAATGCTTTTGATAAGGTTCCACATAATATTCTTGTTGACAGATTGGAAAAATGTGGTTTGGATCCTATGACAATTAGGTGGATCTGTAACTGGTTGACAGATTGCACCCAAAGAGTAATGGTTCCTCATCCTCTTGGAGAGCAATGACAAGTAGAGTGCCTCAAGGATCTGTCCTGGGACCTCTTTTGTTCAACGTCTTTATCAATTATTTGGAAGAAGGAATAGAGGAAATGCTTATTAAATTTGCAGATGATACTAAATTGGGAAGGGTAGCAAATGCAGTAGAAGACAGAGTCTACAGGATGATCTTGACACGCTGGACAACTGGGCTAAAACAAATAAAATGAATTTCAATGGGGATAAATGTAATGTGCTGCATTTAGGTAGGAAAAATCAAATGCATAATTATAGGTTGGGGGCAATGCTCCCTCTAAGCTGTGGAGTCCTGTGAGCAAAAATTCCACTTTGTGAGCTACTGGCATTAGAATTGTGAGCAAGTTATTTGGCTACTGCATAAATTAGTTTGCTCTGGAGCCATTCTTCCTGAGCTAAGACAAAAACGTGTGAGCCGGAGGCTAAAAAACTGTGAGCCAGCTCACACTAACTCAGCTTAGAGGGAACACTGGTTGGGGGAGGCTTGTCTTGGCAGTAGTATGTGCAAAAACGATCTAGGGCAATGATGGCAAACCTTTTAGAAACCGAGTGCCCAAACTGCGACCCAAAACCCACTTATTTATTGCAAAGTGCCAATACGGCAATTTAACCTGAATACTGTGATTTTACTTTAGAAACGTTATTTCTACATTAATTTAAGATGATCCAAACAAAGTAAGGAAAGCAATCCCAAATGCTTTCATTTACTTAAAATTATGTGTCCAGAAGAGGGCAATGAAGATGGTGAGGAGTCTGGAGATGAAGTCCTATGAGGAAAGGTTGCAGGAGCTGGGTATGTTTAACCCGGAGAGGAAACGACTGAGAGGTGATGTGATCACCATCTTCAAGTTCTTGAAGGGCTATCATATAGAGGATGGTGCAGAGTTGTTTTCTGTTGCCCCAGAATGTTGTACCAGAACCAACAGTTTGAAATTAAATCAGAAGAGTTTTCGGCTAAACATTAGGAAGAACTTCCTGACGCTTCCGTGGGAGGTGGTGGGCTCTCCTTCTTTGGAGGTTTTCAAACAGAGGCTAGATGGCCATCTGACAGCAATGCTGATTGTGTGAACTTAGGCAGATCATGAAAGGGAGGGAAAGAATGGTTGCCTCAATGCTTAGTTCTTGTGGCCCTTTCTTATTACACGCCCAGGGAAATGCTGATTGCCAGTTTGGGGTAAGGAATCAATTTTTCTCCAGGCCAATTTGGCTGGAGATCCTGGAGGTTTTTTGACATGTTCTGGGCATGGAACAGTGGTCACTGGGGGTGGGGAGGGGGAGGTATTTGTGAATTTCCTGCCTTGTGCAGGGGGTTCCAGCTCTATGATTCTAAGGCAGTGAGCCACAGCAGGCCCAGCAACCGTGAGGAGTTTGGGAGCTGTGAAGGTCACCTTCTGCTTGCTTCTGGGAGCATCTTGAAGCTGCTGCCACTCCCAAATGCCTGATGCTTCTTTACTAGATGGCCACCTGTCTGGCAGTGGTGATAGGGGAAGCTGCATCTTCCTTCCCTTTTGCCATCGTCCATGCTGCCAGGCCCACTGTGGCTCCCAGCCAGCCACCCACACAGAGACTGATGCAGCTGGGCCACCGTGGCTCCTGGCCAACACACACACACACACACACACACACACACACTGAGAGCAATGCATCCGGGCCCTCTGAAAGAGGAGGTAGGTGCGTTGTCTGCTCATGTGCAGACATTGCTTTTGTTTTTAGGGGAATTTACCTCCTCCATGCAATTTTTTTTTTACTGAGTTCAGATTTTTCTGAAAACTTGGGGATCCCCCGAAGTTTGGAGAAAAATCTCCTTTATCTTAGTGTGGGCCTGATCCATGGATTTAGCTATCCACAATAGAGAAATAGAGGGAAGAGACATATATCATTATGTTATTATCTGTCTTCTTGTTTATCATCTGTTTTGCTTAGACTTGTGCAGTATCCATCTGTCATGTTTGCCATTTTATAGTTTTCCGTCCGGGTTTTAGACAAAGTAATTATATAGCTTGAGGAACGCTTGAACTGAAGAGTACGGTGACCCACTGGAGACAGGAAATTTAAAATTAAGATCTGCCTCCTTGACCGATTGGTGGGAATCATCCATGCTAAGATGCTATCCCTTCCTCATAGCAGAAGGTTCTATTTCACTGCTGGTAACCATAAACGGGTGCCACATGTTGGATACTGGGGAGAAGAATTTTATAGAGGAAGGGAATGAGATGCAAAAGCAAATGAGATAATCTTAAGAAAAAGAGCCTGTTTCTGCCAAAACAGCACCATGGTTAGCAACTGAAGTACTATATTACCTGCCGGTGAACAAGTTAAAAAGCAGTGGACCAATTATATAGCTTGAGGAACACTTGAACTGAAGAGTACGGTCGGTGACCCACTGGAGGCAGGAAGTTTAAAATTAAGATCTGCCTTCTTGACTGATTGGTGGGAATCACCCATGCTAAGATGCTATCCCTTCCTCATAGCAGAAGGTTCTATTTCACTGCTGCTAACCATAAACGGGTGCCACATGTTGGATACTGGGGAGAAGAATTTTATAGAGGAAGGGAATGAGACGCAAAAGCAAATGAGATAATCTTAAGAAAAAGAGCCTGTTTCTGCAAAACAGCACCATGGTTAGCAACTGTAGTACTATATTACCTGCCGGTCAAATTCATGCTTCTGCAATATAGATAACAGCACACGTTCAGAATTTCAGACAGGGCTGAGTGCCACTGCTGACACAGCAGATTAGGTCCTACACATGATAGAAAGTAGGATCAGAACTGGGGCAGAAAAATCCAGAAATCATGGGCAAAGGAATTAGAAAGATATCAGAGAGCAGAAAAAAGCACAAATGCTTAGAGAGCTATCCAACAATTGTTTTATGAACAATCCATCCCTCCTCATGCAAGGGACTTAACCATAATCACACTGCCTTTTTCACTTTTCATTTTAACATTCTCACACTTGGAGGCAAATTAAAGTTCCAGCAAAAGAGTTATTTAAAGCAATGGTTGCCATAGCCCTTTTTAATCCATATTGTCTGAGAGAGGGACAGTGATGGAAAAGCAAAATACTCAGCTAGTGACACAGTATTCTTTAATTACATTTTTCTTTGTTGTTGAGGTATGCAGAGCTCCACAGCCCATTACAGAGGAGCTCTGTCCACATCCCTAATTAACTGTTACGCATTCAGTTTAATGCCCTTGCTGAATTCCTTTCTGAAGAAGTAAAGGCTGTGACTTACAAACATTTGCTAAGAGTTTTAAGCATTAAATAATTGTTCGCAGCTAAATAACCACATCTCAGAAACGGTATTAAAAAAATCTAGTTGCACCTCTTAAACTAATTTTTATTTTCAGAGTGAGAATGACACTTGGAAAAACATTTTTTCCATTTTTACTGTGGGGGTTTTTTTTGGAATTTATTCAGATTAATTGGATTTTTCTACTTTCTTGATTCAGGGGAGCTTCACAAACTTGAAAATGTCATCTGTCAAACACCTTGTATACTCGGTCATCAATTTCTTGCGAGAACAAAGTCAGATGGATACATTCACTTCAGATGAACAAGAAAGCCTGGAAGGTTGGTGGTGATTGATGAGTGTGATGTCTGAGGGAAGTGTGAGCATTAATTATGTGGAAAGCAAGAGGGAGCCATTAACAGTCTTGTTTATTTTCTTTAGCAATGATGGCTTTCAAACAAGGAACTTAGGGATTCCTTGGATACTTACACAGGGTTCCTTGCATAGAAGATCTTTAATGCATAGTCACAAGATAGTATTTTAGTGTGTTCAGGGGTACCTAGTTCATGTGAGGTCATAATGAGGCCCAACAGGCAGGAGTCTTTGCATAGTTGCTCGGCTTGGGTAAACAAAAATTATTTCTAGTAGGCAATAAGGCACAGTTTTCTCACTTACTGTTCCAATTAGGGAAGGAAGTGAGCTCCTTTTTTACTTACTGCCCAGAGGAACACAGTTATTACAGTGCATTTGGTTAAGAGCACGGACTCTAATCTGCAAGAACTGGGTTTGATTCCCCACTCCTTCACATGCAGCTGTTGGTGTGACCTTGGGTCAGTCATAAGTTCTTTCAGAGTTGTTCTCTCAAGGACTGTTCTCAAGATAGCTCTCTCAGCCCCACGTACCTCACAGGGTGTCTGCTGTGGGGAGGGGAAGGGAAGGGGATTGTAAGCCACTCTGAGACTCCTTCGGGTAGTGAAGGGCGGGGTATAAATCCAATCTCCTCTTCTTCTTCTTTCCTGGCAGCTTTTCTCAAGCTTATTACTTATACAGTAGAATATGGCAGAAGTTTTCCTTACTGGTCACCAGGATTGCCTTTATGGTCACAGGACTATATTTTGTGAATCCCTGCTCTAAGGCTTGGCCTGGCAAGTCCTTCAGGAGGAGGTGATGGTGATGATTTATCCCCCACCTTTCACTCAGAGTCTTGTTTACGTGGATAATAATTATGGACTTTGTTGGTCTTAAAGATGCCACTGGACTCTAATTTGTTCTGCAGCAGAGGTAGTTTGCTCAGGGAGAAGGTTTAGTGCCCAGAGGGAAATGTGGCATAAACAGCTGCACCGTTTTGCCCCTTTGAAATACATTAAAAAAGCACAAATTCACATTTGCTCTCAAAATAGCCTACTGATTGAGGTGTATCCAACCTTTCCATAGCTGGTTTCGTTTGCTTGTTTCAGAGGACTGTTCACATTGGTACTAAGTGACATGAAACAATAAGAGTATTTATGCATGTCAGTACAAGAATGGGGAATCTCTTTTTTTAAAAAAAAAGTAATAATGTTCATTACTTTCTTTACAGTGGCAATCCAGTGTTTGGAAACAGTTTTTAAAATCAGTCTGGAGGATTCTCATCTTGCGGTACCTGTACGCTTGACAGACATGTTTGCAGACTGTTGTCATAAGGTAAGCAATGAATTAGCACATATCTGTGTTACAACTTAAAAATATTTTTAAGAGAGCCTTTCAGTTTTGTGAGGATGATAGGTAGGGCTAATAGAAAAGCTTAAGAACCACATAAAACGATAGTTCCTTTAGCACCAGTTTTGATGGTAGCCGAGCAATGTCCCCTCTAAGCGCCACAGTGTTGTGAGCAAAAACTTCTACCTTGTGAGCAAAAAAAGCTAGTAGCCTTAAAGCTGTGAGCGAGTCTACATTTGACTACCACATAAATTAGTTTTTTAGAAGATTATTTCCATAACCTTGTAAAAATCTCAGAATGAATTCTTTTAAACATAATTTGAATGAAATCTTTTAAACATTATAATTTGAATGAATAATTTAAACATTATAAGAGAAACAGAATCAAGTCAAATTTCATTACAGAAAATGTCTCTATGGGGTAGACCTGGCTTTCGGAGAACAGGTCTACTCTTCCCTTGCAACTGTATTGGTACACCTGGCCTGTGGAGAACAGGTCTACCCGCTCCAGTCCACTATACTGGTAGACATGGCCTCGGACTGTCGCCCTGCACTGAGCCTTAGAAAACATATCAGCACTGGGGGGGGGGGAACTCTTGCAGTCTCCTTTTTTTTTTTTTTTAGTGAAATATGACAAATTACAGGTCAAGTATAACAGAGGTGGAACAATGACTTTCAGAACCCTGCCTAACCTAACAAATAGGAAGTTGCTTAAATGTTATCAACCTGCCCAAACTACTTATTTATTCAAATATCTCTATCCCACTTTTCCCTGTGACTCAAGGCAGCTTACAAATCATACTGAAAAGCATAATACGGGTATGTAAAAAATCCCTGTTTTTTTGTGCTCCTTTATAGCCTCTTGGAGCTGCGGTGGCTCAAGTGGTTAAGACGCTGAACTGCAGGCTGTGGAAGGTCAGTAGTTCAGCAGTTCAAGACCCGGGTGCCGCATGATGGAGTGAGCTCCCATCTCTAGTTCCAGCTCCTGCCAACCTAGCAGTTCGAAAGAAATTGCTAGATAAATAGGTACCACTTCAGTGGGAAGGTAACAGCGTTCCATGCGCCTTGGTGTTTAGTCATGCCGGCCACATGACCACGGACAGCGCTGGCTCTTCGGCTTTGAAACGGAGATGAGCACTGCAACCCTAGAGTCGGATCCAACTGGCTTTCGAGCAAGGGAACCTTTACCTTTACCTTTATAGCCTCTTGGGACCATGGGGAGGTGATTTCATTACAGAAAACACCAAATTTGCAGCATAGTTGCTGGTGCTTCTCCTAACCCCCCCTTCCTCCAGTTTCAAAAAGATTGGACCAGGGGGTCCAATTCTGTGAGCCCCAGAAGGAAGTACCCCCATCCTCCATTGTTTCCAATTGAGGGAAAATGCCTTGCCTCCACAGTCGGAGTAACGAGACGGACAACAGTTTGGATCAAACAAGGGCCACTTTATTAACTATATAACAGTTTATTAACCAAAAATGGCAAGGGAGCATTTCCTAAGTAGCGGAACAGACAAGGCAGGTGTCAGGCTGACCAGCCTCCTTGTCTAATATGTGGGCGAGCCACCAACCCCAGGCTTGAGCCATTAATCTGGCTTGCGACCAGCAGCCCAGCCCCTGGTAGCCTCCCAGGAGCGTCTACCCCTGAAACCATACAGCTTGTAGAGAGGAGCTTACCCAAGAGGTTCCCAGAGGGAATCATCATTCACCACCCAGGGCCTTAAGAGGGAACTCGATAGCCAAGATGTATAGGATGCTGCTTCAGGTTTGCTAGGATGGGAATCTATAGAACACAGGAATGAATAGTGAGCCCAACTTTCTGAGATATGATCATCCTGAACAGCCATCTTCATGCTGCACAGCAAAGTGCTTTTGAGACTAGGATGTTTGTCGTGTGATATGGGAGCCAGGTGTTCTAAGGCAAAAAATTCCACTGAGCTCTTGCCAAGGCCATGTGTAATCTTAAGCAGTCTTTAGATCTTGGCTCTTGTCATTCATTGTTTTAGATCTTGACCTCTATTGACTGTCTGGCATCCAGCTCCTAAACATTTGTGTACGTATCCCAGTGCCAGTGTAATACCCCCTACTAGTTTGGCATGGTATTTTTGCTATTGCTCTGGGATAACAGATTGCATGCCTCATCCGCAGCAGCTGTTTGCAGGCATTGCATGAGTTAGTGTCATGGTCTTTGAAAGTACTGTACATGATAAACAAAAGTCAAAATAGTCTGCTATAGTAGTTGCGGTTTAAAACAACAACCCCGGTTTTGCTTAAAAGATGGAAACAGAGGGAGCTGGGTATTTTTAAAAAATGAGGCTACTGAACTGTTAGGTGGGATAAGCCATTATTCTAAAAAAATCTAATCATTTAAGAGTAGAAATATGAATTGGAGGATGGCAGGTGGAGACAGAATTTTTAGTTGAGCTGCACTGCATTGGCATGGTAGTAGCCATGGAATGTGTCATGGCTAGCATAGCTTTGTGTCATCTAGCATAGATTGACTGTGAGTAAGGCTGTATCTAACAAATGTGATCAACAGCAAGTGGTTGTGCTGTGCTGCACAATGAATGTGTGTTACAGGATGATGCAGGCAGGTTTGTATATAAATGGCTACCCCTTTGGAGTCAGGCTGGTATATAGCAGTCTGGTTGACAAACACGGGACTCCCTTCCTCTCCTGTGAGTGATATATACCACTCCTGTGAAATGAACATGTTTAAAAATCTCAGAACTCTTATAAACCAAATGCAAGTTTGAATTTTAAGACTACCCTATCCAGTTTTAGACTACAGTGGATTTTATTGATATTTTTACTAGGGCTCTCAGATTTAATAAGTCATTCTAAGTGGCAAGAGTAAATTTTCAATCTCATAGCCTTGCAAATTGAGAGTGAGATGGTTTGTTTATTTAAGACTATTTTGATTCTTCTGATGTTTTTATTAACCTGAAAATTACCATACTTAATTCGTAATATGTATATTTATAATCAAATAATGTATAAGATATTCCTAACTTCTACCTTTATTATAAATTTCCTTTGCTAGATTTGTATGTTGGAACACAGACTTTCTGAGGCATAATCATTCTTGTTGCATGTTATTGAGATAACACTGAGCCTAGTCCCACACCATAGGTTCCTTGCACATGGCTTTAGGTTGTGTGCAAGAATGGGTATATTTAGATCTATCAAACAAATACTTTGACTATGCTGATTGCTGGTTTGGGAGGAAGCGGTCTAAATTCAGCCCTTCCACACTCCCACATAGGTAATTAATGGCATCAAAATTGGCTTATGTGATGCGATCCAGCATGGACCACTGTACTTGTGTGTCCAAGAGTTGGACAGAGGGTTTGTTTCCCTTTTTAAAAGAATACAAACATATAGTTAAAGAGTGGAAAAACAAACTTTGAATACTCCGTGTCACAGTGTTGTTTTGACTGACTTCTTTGCAGTTCAGAGATGCACTTAATGAAAGGGTTTGTATCCACTGATTTCTCCATTCTTATATTGGATTATTTGTGTTCATTCTAGAACAGCTAATTGTGGCCGAATTTCTGTTTTAGTGTGGTGACAGAGATAAGGTTATCTAGAAAGCTTATCCAGAAATGAGACTTTTCTTTTTCAAAATTCATACAGAACGAGATACTGCCCCTCTCAGATTCTTTGCCAGAGGATATTGAGAAGGCTGACCAGCTGAAGGATGAAGGTATGCATTAAAAAGAGGAACCAATTTCATTCTATCATAGCTCTTACAGTCGGTGCCCGTACTAGAACATGGCTCTTGCACGGATGGGCTTTTGGTCTAGTAGAAAACTATATTGTAGAGTGGTAGATGCTGTGTTTCGGAAGAGATTAGTGTGATGGCTGATCTGGAGGAAATTTAAGAAGCTGAACAAAACCAAAAATGCAGTGCAATCTTATGTGTTTTTACTTAGAATTCCCACTGATGTCATATTTATCCCTATAGAAGTGTGTGTAGGATTGCAGCCTTAGTATTCCTTGTGTTAGATATATGAATTTAAGAAGAGGAAGAAGAGAAGAGATTGGATTTATACCCTATCCTTCATCACCCAAAGGAGTCTCAGAGCAGTTTACAATCTCCTTTCCCTTCCCCTCCCTACAACAGACACCCTGTGAGGTAGGTGGGGCTGAGAGAGCTTTTTCTAGGACTGCCCTTGAGAGAACAGTTCTGAAAGAACTTATAAATGACCCAAGGTCACACCAGCAGGTGCATGTAGAGGAGGGGGAAAATTAAACCCAGTTCTCCCAGATTAGAGCCCGCCGCTCTTAACCACTTAACCATAGCTTCTGTGGCCCAGATTACTGGACATGAAAATATTTGTATATTTTACTTGTAATGAAATAAAGGAATGAGGATAGTATGTGGTTTTCAAGTAGCCCTAGTGGAATATCAGGCTGATTGTTATCTTTATACATCTCTTCATATGTTGGCTTTAGTGTGTTTTTCCCTTGCGCAGGCTGTCACTTTTAACTGTCCAGTATTCTTGCCCCCTTTGGGTTTCAGCCATTAGTCCATCACATCCTTCAATCTTACTCCATATGTATAGAGTGCCTGTTTACTAATAAAAAAAGATTTATATTGTACCCTTCCTTAAACCTCAGGGTGGAAGCACATTTGAGCAAAGAAATAAGATTAGATTTGCACAGCAAATTTACTGCAAGTTTAAAACAGTTCAATTAATGTAAGTGTAAAAATACAGCCATCGCAGTTGCATTCTAAGTCATCAGCATTAACCACTGGCAACCTTATAGGCTTTTGGAAAGGTAGAGAGAGAGCCTTCAGGGATTATTTCTGGAAGCCCATTCTGTGAGATGGGAACAACAATGGAGAATGCTCATGAGTCGGCAGTACTCGCCCCCTGCAGTGAAAGCAGTAAAAGAAGAGATAGGTGTGCCAAATGAAGTTAGAGCACAGGTTCATACAGGAGGAGGTTCCTAGAGCTATCATCTTCATTTCCTATAACCAGAATGACTTCCATGCACGGCAGTACTTGCCCCCTGCAGTGAAAGCAGTAAAAGAAGAGATAGGTGTGCCAAATGAAGTTAGAGCACAGGTTCATACAGGAGGAGGTTCCTAGAGCTATCATCTTCATTTCCTATAACCAGAATGACTTCCATGCAATTGAATTCACTTGTGTAGTTGTCACCAATTTAGTGCAGTACCTTACCAGTGGCAGTAGTTGTTGTTGGGTTGTATCCAGTGGCTCTCTTTCACTAAATGAGGAGTTTTCCTCTAACAGAGAAAATCTTGCTCTCACGACAAGGCTCCTTATTCTGGACAAGGCTCTTTTCATAGGAGAAGGGAGTTGCTGGGTCCAAGCCATTGTGATTGCTATAGTTAACATTTATGATGAATTTATTTGTATGGCTGTCTACCCACGCTTCATGCCTGTCCAGCAGGTCATAAACGTTATTCCTAGTTTATAGATTTGAGACACTGGGGTGAGGTCTAGTGGTGTGTCTCAAGCCATCAGTATGTTCTGATATTTATTAAAACATACGCCCCCTTTCTTTGTAGTTCATATGGCATCTCAATGATAACAAATCCAGTTATTAGAAAGCTCTGTTTACCAAAAACTGTACTGACTTGCTAATTCCACTCAAGCCTTTGCCTTGGTGTTCAAAATAGCAGGTGTTCTTGTACAGCAAGAAAAAAAATTATGTGATATATTGTTTTGCAGCAAATAAAATTGCATGACAAAGCAAGCACAGTGCCACTCAGCTCATGCTAAATTGCCAAACAGTGTCTGTTTATGAACAGTGAATCATGAAGGGTATCATTTGCATCATTGCTTTATGAGGTGTCGTTTACAGTGATGTGTGGCATTCGTGCACACTTGGCATTCAATCTTTTTAATTAAACACAAGTTTATTGCTGCTGTTTATTTCAGGTAATAATCACATGAAGGAAGAAAATTATGGCGCTGCAGTGGATTGTTACAATCAGGCTATAGAACTGGATCCCAATAATGCTGTCTATTATTGCAACAGGTAAATATCGAATATCTTGAAGGTTTATTTTTCTCTCTAATTTCTGCTCGCAGTTCACAGCTAGCATGCGTAACAATAATACTAGCATGTACTTAACTTATTTGGTGTTCAGAGCACTTCATGTGCATTTATCTTGTCATGATCTTTCCAGTAGTCCCTTAAGGAAGGCTAGAGTCAAAACATCACCAGGTTCTGACCCTGGTCCAGTCACTAAAGTCCCATGGTAGTTCCTTGTTAGCTGGCCTTTCTCATTTTCACTCTAGCCTGTTCTATTACCCCTACAGCGGTCATATTTGTGAAGCCAGTTTTGTCCATTAAACTGGGACTAGGACTACGGGGAGGGCGGGATATAAATTTAATAAATAAATAAATACAATGCTGAATCTATTTGCTTGGAAATAGTCCTATTAAAATTGATGGGACTTAACTTCCAAGAAAGTATAGTTAGGAGTGGCCTGCAAATCAATTTAAATCATAGGGCTTCAATGTAACAGACAGTTTGGTGGTTAGACCAATACCTGTTTAAACATACAAAGCTGCCTAATTTGGTTCAGACTTATAGGTTTGTCAACATCCATATAGTCTAAGCAGACTGGGAGTGGCTCTCCAGAGGTTTGGGTCAGGTTGACAACCTTCAGGTTAGAGGTCTCCCGTAATCACAACTGATCATGAGACCAAGAGATCCTTTTCCTTGGAGGAAATGGCAGCTTTGGAGGGTGGACTGTATGGCATTATCCCCCACGGAGGGGAGTGTGTGTTCATAGTAGAGCGGGTCTCTTGTACTCAGCAAGCAAAATTTATGTGATGTATTATTTTCACAGCAAATAAAATTGCACGACAAAGCATGCACAGTGCCCCTCTGCTCATACCTTCAGAAATTTCCCAACCAAGAGATGCCGGTCCCAGTCTCCAGCTCCGTCATGACTTAGTGGAAGACTCTCCCACTAAGTCATGACCCCTCCCCATATATTGTTGATATTCATGTTTTGGAGCTCAGTTAAGAACATAAGAACATAAGAGATGCCAATGTTGGATCAGGCCAAAGGCCCATCCAGTCCAACACTCTGTATCACACAGTGGCCAGAACTACCAGTGCCATCAGGAGGTCCACCAGTGGGGCCAGGACACTAGGAGCCCTCCCACTGTTGACACCCCCCCCAAGCACCAGGAAGACAGAGCATCACTTGCCCCAGAGTCCCTATCTATACCTTGTGGCTAATAGCCACTGATGGACCTCTGCTCCATATGCTTATCTAATTCCCTTTTGAAGTCGTCCATGCTTGTAGCCGCCACCACTTCCTGTGGCAGTGAATTCATAAGAACAAATTCTTTTTCATACTTCAGAGCCGCTGCTCAGAGCAAACTGAACAACTACAATGAAGCAATAAAAGACTGTGAAAGAGCCATAGCAATAGATCCAAAATACAGCAAAGCATATGGGAGAATGGGGTAAGTGAGCCAGTTATCTGAATAACTGTAGCAGAAGATTGTCAATCTTATTGGCAGGGGCTGACCCAAGAACTACTGTATCCGTAGCTACGTTTCTGTTCTTTGTGATGAAAATACAGGCCGGGATAACATCCCGTGAATAATGGACTCAAGTTCTAACCCTTAAATTCTTAGTTATATCAGGATGGATGATGTATGCTGTGATTTTTATGTGGGCAGTTAACTCAATAACATAGATCCAGAGGAGTTAGCCGTGTTAGTCTGTTGCTGCAAAATAGTAAAGAGCCTAGTAGCACCTTTAAGAATAACAAACTTCATTGTAGCATAAGCTTTCGAGAAACACAGCTCTCTTCGTCAGTCAATAACACTGTTATTGAGTTCAGTAGCACCTTTAAGACTAACAAGCTATTGTAGCATAAGCTTTCGAGAAACACAGCTCTCTTCGTCTGATGAAGAAAGCTGTGTTTCTCAAAAGCTTATGCTACAATAAAGTTTGTTAGTCTTGAAATTGCTACTGAACTCAATAACAGTGTTTTTTCTGCTCCTGTATGGCTTGTGGCCATAATAAAATCTGACTGACTGCTTTTAAGTGTATTGTCTTAAAACAGTTAAATGTCAGAGATATCAAACTGTCTCACCATAGCTTAGAACGTGAGAACTGCTGATCTCTTAGCAGCAGCCTATGAAATTTACTCATTCTGTAGATATCTTTTCTCACATACCGACACCCGAAAGCTCAGTCTTGAGAAATCAAACTGCAGTTAATATGCTGGCCAGAATGATACAGCAGCAATAGCAACCCTTTTTAAAAATCAAGATAAAAGATTCCTCATAACTGCCAGTTTTTCAACCATCACTGGGATATAATAAAAATACTTTTTGACTATGGAGCGCCTAATGTACCATTATAGTTACAGTTAGAACAGAGAAAATATTTGTTGGATAAGAAAGTATTGTTAATTTCTGTGATCCTCCCAAAGGAATTGAGATTATCTTTCTTTGGCCCAATAGTTTAAAGAAGTAATAATCTATATTTCAGTTAACTGTTCTTTAGGCCAAACTAGTATTCATAGAACAAATATTGAAATCAGGGGACGCAGAAAGGTACAACTGGGTTTAGGACTAAGTCACTGTCAGGCTTCTCCGTGACTTAGAACCCAACTCCTCCTGCTGCTTTGTGCATCTTAAACAGTTTTTAAAGCCCTAGCAAATTAATGTTACTCTTCTCTGACTGTTACAGTGGTTGCTGTGTGAATCCCAGGGATTTCTATATACAGGAATAAATGCATGTTATTTTATTTGTATTTTCAATTCACTTCCCCTTATATAACTGGACTATCAACAGACATCTACCCTGACCAACAGGGAAGCAGTGTTCCCTCTAAACTGAGTTAGTGTGAGCTAGCTCACAGTTTTTTAGCCTTTGGCTCACAGATTTCTGTTTTAGCTCAGGAAGGATGGCCCCAGAGCAAACTAATTTATGCAGGAGCCAAATCACTCGCTCACAACTCTCATTACTATATTCTGTTCTCTGTAGATTACTGTATTATAAAAGTAATCTTTATAGAACAGTCTTTGCATGACTTCCTAGACAGGACACCTGAATCCACACCAGAGTCTGAAAAATTTGGATTGCACAGGTAATTCATAGTGAAATGCTGAGCTAATATGAAACAGTTTAGATTATGTGACTTCGAAAGAGTCTGCTCTCAAGTTTCTAATGGAAGCCCAGTTACTTTCAAGATCCATGAGATTGAAATGAATTCGTTAACAGCAATTTATTCTTACCCCGATGAAAGGAATCTTTCCTTCTGTGTGGATGTCACATTTTGAATGAATACAGATAACTGTTTACAGACTAACAGCTAGAGCACTTTAGAGACAAACAAGAGTTCCAGGGTATAAGCTTTTGATAGTCAAAGCTCCCTTTGCCAAACAGGGCTAGAAATGGACATCTCTGAGTTCTGTTACCCTAATCAGAAGATGGGAGGGGTGTTGAGAAGGATGCAGAGGTACAATGCATGTTGTAATCAGCTTGATTAGAGAAGAGGGAAATGCTTGGGGGCAGAAAATTAGCACCTGCATTGAGATAAGAATCCTTTGTCCCTATTCAGCCCAGGGGGCTGGAGTTCATTGTTCTCAATTTGAGAATGAACTGAAGTCCCACAATTTCATATTGTAATTTCCCCTTGAAATTTACAGACTAAGTAGAAGCTTACCATGGTGCATGCACAGAGCCATTGTTGACAGCATTCTGCCAAGAGGCATCAAATTTTACTATAGCTCTTAGATTGTGTGCAGATGTGTGATTAAAAATTTTCCTTACCACTTGATCGGATGCTGCAGATTGCCAGTTTATTGTGTGATTACAACACACTACAAGAAGCTTTGTCTCTACTCAAAAACTAAGCAAATAGTGTGAGATTAAAATGTTTCATTTAAATTAATATTAATTAGATCAGAAGAGAGAGAGACTGACTCATTTTGTACTCATGTTGGCTCTGCCCGCATTCATTTTAGGTTGGCCCTGACTTCAATGAACAAATACCAAGAAGCAATCAATAGTTACCGAAAAGCCCTGGATCTCGATCCAGAAAACGACTCCTATAAATCAAATTTGAAAGTAGCTGAGCAAAAATTAAGAGATGTGGCCAGCCCTGTAAGTTATCTTTAAAATCTGTTTCAGTAATTTAGTTAACTCAAAAGTGTGGTGGTTGATGCATATACTTTAATTTCAGACTGGAACTGGATTGAGTTTTGATATGGCAAGCTTGATAAACAACCCTGCCTTCATTAGTATGGTGAGTACGTTTAAAATACATTATTTGCTATGCTTGTTTATTTATTTATTTTACAGAAGGGAGCGGTGGTGCAGGTGGTAAAACGCCTGCTTTAACAACTAAGAGCAGCCATTGCGGCTGTTCGAATACCACCGCGGCCGGAGTGAGCTCCCGGCCTTCGTCCCAGCTCCCGCCAACCCAGCGGGTCGAAAGCTAATTAACATCTAATGCAAGTAAACGAATGGGTACCTACCCTTAGATGGGTAGGGGGCACCCACCTCTGACGAAGAGGCATGGTGGTAATGCGGATGGCAGTACGGCGACGGACAACGGCGTAACATCAGCAGCGGCGAGTGCTGGAGAGTGGAGCAGAGTGGAGCAGAGCGATCCCTGGTGGCCAGAAGGAACATTGAGCAACAGCGGCAGTGACGGCAGAGTCCTGAGGGCGCACGACGAATGATGCAGGCACAGCGGTGCCTGATGGACGAAGCCGGCCGAAAGCGTGCATGAAGCCGTGCGCCTGTGCGGCGCTGCTGTGGTTGCCGGAAAAAGTGTCGGGAGCCTGGAGGGGACGTCGCGCCAGCAGCCGAGAAAGGACTATCGATCTAGCCGCCGATAAATAGATGCCGAGCCGAAGACTTGTTACAATAAAATTACATTAAAAACAGTTAAAACGAACTATAAAAATTCATATAGGTAGCAAGAGTTTCACATCTGTTAGAGCCACAGGTGGAATCGGTGGGCCCTTTCAGCGGATTGGGAGCCAGATTAAGAGCAGGGAGGCCAACTGTGATGGACACCCACCGCCTCAACCAAAGGCCTGGCGGAACAGCTCCATTTTGCAGGCCCTGTGGAGCAATAAAAGGTCCCACAGGGACCTTTTGTTTAATCTGTTTCATTGCTTGTTTGAACAGTTGTTTTATCTTCAACCCCATCCTGCTTTCTCTTCACCTATATGATCATTTTGAGCAGTCCTGTTGACCTAATAGTCATTGTTTTTAGTATTGTCCAAGCCCCATAGTATATTTTAACCAATAATGTTGTGGTACTGTAACAATATCTTTGAAAAACATTTCTGTAGCAAATAGTTAATTTTATGGTACGTTAAAAAGGTAAACTTTCTTCCACAATGCTGCCAGAGAGTGGTCTGTTTCAAAATTGTCCAGTGAAAGACTGGTTGCATTACAACTCATCTCCTCTATTTCAGGCAGCAAGTTTAATGCAGAATCCACAAGTTCAGCAACTGTAAGTATAAGCATGGAATGCAAAGTCTTGTGCATACCAAAGTATTATGTTATTCTGAGAGCCACTGACCATGTGGGCCTGAGTATTCATTTTTTTTCAGTGGCGGAATCCTGGAGTTGGAATGTTAGCCAGCACTTTTTGATGACTGGCAGTTCAGGAATTATCCTGAGCAAAAAGATACTACAAGTTTTGCCCCCACAGCCGGAATAACGAGACGGACAACAGTTTGGATCAAACAAGGGCCACTTTATTAACTATATACAATTTATTAACAGCAACCGGCAAGGGAGCACATCCTAAGTAGCGGAACAGACAAGGCAGGTGTCAGACTGACCAGCCTCCTTGTCTGATATATGGGCGAGGCACCAACCCCGGTCTTGGGCCATTAATCTGGCTTGCGACCAGCAGCCCAGCCACGGGTCGCCTCCCGGGAGCGCCTACCCCTGAAACCCTACAGTTTGCAGAGAGGAGCTTACCCAAGAGGCTCCCCTAGGGGATCCTCATTCACCACCCGGGGCCTTAATAGCCCGCAAGCCGTTCCTGAAGACCCCCCAATTCCCAAAAGACGGGACGGCTTACGGTGCTCACCAATTCCGCTGCCTTATCTCTGCTCAAAGTGACCAACCTATTTAAAAACGCCACGCCCCTAACCGTTGTTCCACTGTTCCAGTGTAAGGTAGGCGAAAACACTACCACCCCATTGCCAATCTTAGGTGATAGCGAAAAATTCAGCCTACACTAGCTTAACAGGGCAGGCGGGCGAGCACGAGGCTGCAACTGACCTGGGGGGCAGGAGTGGAGTCGAGCCTGGCCAGGCCGGCTCCGCCCCCCCCCCCACGTCCCAGCACTCTGTGGTGGGACGCTGTTGCCGTCCCGCCTTCCCCGCGGCGGCAAACCAGCCCCCGACCGCCATTGCCTTCGGCGGCGGCCGGGAGCTCCCTTGTATGTAGTATGGCAGAGGAGGGGGGAGAATAGACTGGTTCTTCTTGACTCAGGATCTAAGGTTAGACTGGGTTCTAGGAAAAGAACATACTACATGAACCAAGCTTGAGCTTGATTAATAAGACACTTCATTATTATGCAACCTAATTCATTGGGAAATTCTTAGGTATAAATTCCACTGCAATTCATGAAAGTAGCACAAGAGATCAGTTGTGTGTTGTGCAACTCCCAGTTTTGCATCAGGGGAAAATTAACAGTGAATGGTCTTCTTGAACTCTCCTTTTTCCTGTAATTTAGTTATGGTGACCTTTAAGTTTACTTGCAGTTCATTGCTTATAATACAGTAAAGAGCAATTATCATTAAGGAAATCTCAATATTTGCAATATCTATTGCATAGGATGTCTGGTATGATGTCAAACGCTATTGGGGGCCCTGCTGCCGGTGTTGGTGGCCTCACAGATTTGTCAAGCCTCATACATGCGTAAGTACTATTAATTTACATACTAACTCTGGAGGCTCATATTTGTGGAAACTGATGTGCTAAAAGGGGCTATGTTAAGATTTGTGGCTTTTTTTGCTACATTGATTAAAAGCTATGGGAATGCTTGCTTAGAAGGGGGAAAAAAGGAGAAATGCATCTCTGTATCTTTCCTGCTTGGGAGCAAAAGTTGTTGGGGAAGTAGGTGATTGGTCTGGAAAAGGGAAACTTAGCTACTTTTTGCTACAGTGTCTCCTCCTTGCAAATGGGAGTCTTTGAAGCTTTTCAGTCACAGTTGAGTTTCCATTGGCAACTCTCCTGGGGGAGAAGGCTTCAAAGAAAGTAGGGCCTACTATCTCCCTGTTTTTCCTTCCGTTGACCTGGTGGGGAAATGGATGTGCCGATAAATAGGCTGATCAGAATTGTGAACCTTGTCACTGCTGTCCATTTCAGGCCCTTATTCTAAGCCTTGAACAAAGGTAATGGTGGAGTTGTTCTTTTCTCCTTTCCCAAGTAGCAGGGAAGTGCCCACACTGCGTGTGTGTTCTGATCACACAGCTTACCTGACAGTGTGTGGCATCTTTCCAAAAAGAACCTCAGTCTTGATGGTACATACCTGTGATTGGTGACTGCATCAATGTTGCCCTGTTGGCTGACTATAGTTATTACAGCTGGTATGCCAATAGTAATTATTGTGATTGAGTTTGGCATAATCAAACCCCACCGGAGATGAGTTACAGCAGAGCTGTCAAGTATTTATTTATATTTATTTATTTATTTATTCCATTTGTATCCCGCCCTCCCCACGTACAGGCTCAGGGTGGCTTACAGTAATCGGTACAAAGTACCACAAAATCCACATTAAAACATTTTAAAACATTCAGGTAATCATAAAGTGCTAGTGGTACTAAACATTCCATCACTAATCGAGATGGCAAGCTATATGATGTAACAGCAGACAATTTCAGACTAAGTAATTTTGTGGCGTCACGCGATGGTATGGCTCGGTCTCAAAGCTGGGGCCGGCCCATAACCACAGATGTTGGTGGTAGTGGTGAGGGCGGCTCCCAATTGAAAGCCTGGTGGAAGAGCTCCATCTTGCAGGCCCTGCGGAACTGTAGAAGATCCCACAGGGCCCTGATCTCTTCCGGGAGCTCATTCCACCAGTATGGAGCCACCACTGAAAAGGCCCTACTAGCAGTGAGCCTGGCATCCTTAGGGCCTGGGAGGGTCAATCGATGTTGTGACCCCAACTATAGTGCTCTCTGGGGCATATATGGGGAAAGGCAGTCCCTCAGGTATGTCGGACCCTGGCCATATAGGGCTTTAAAGCTGAGTACCAGTACCTTGAAGTGAATGCTATTGGCAGCCAGTGCAGTGGCTTCAGCACAGGCCGGATATGCTCCCATCTAGGAAGGCCCATCAGAAGCCTGGCCACGGCATTCTGCACTAGCTGCAGCTTCTGGATTTGCGACAAGGGCAGCCCCATGTAGAGAGCGTTACAGTAGTCTAGTCTTGAGGTGACCATCACATGGATCACTGTAGCCAGGTCATCACAGTCAAGGAAGGGAACCAACTGCCGAATCAGTCGAAGGTGGTAAAAGGCCGACTTAGCCGTGGCTGCTACCTGGGCCTCAATTGTTAAGGTGCCCCACCGAAGGTCGGGAGTGGGATCCCTACCCCTGAACCACCCTGACTCGGGCACAGGACCTCCGTCTTCGCCAGGTTCAGCTTCAGCCAGCTCAGTCTAAGCCAACCAGCCATGGTTTGCAGTGCCCGGTCCAGATCTTCTAGTCTGGAGTCCTACTGGCCACCCAACATCAGATAGAGCTTTGTGTCATCAACGTACTGGTGACACCCCAGCCCATACCTCCGAGCAATCTGGACAAGGGGGTGCATGTAGATGTTAAATAACATCGGAGAAAGCCCTGCCCCTTGAGGGACTCTGCACTCAAGCAGGTGTCCCGTGGACTGCTGTCCCCCTAGCACCACCCTTTGTCCCGACCCTGAAGAAAGGAAGCAAGCCATTGCAAGGCAAGCCCCTGGATCCCCATGTTGGTGAGGCGGTGGGTCAGCAATTGGTGGTCGACCATGTCGAACACGGCCGACAGGTCCAACAACAGCAGTACCGCTGAACTACTCCGATCCAGATGCCTCCGGAGGTCATCCGTAAGAGCGACCAACGCCGTCTCCATCCCGTGTCCTGGGCAGAAGCCAGACTGGAAGGGATCTAATATGGAAGTGTCATCCATAAAGCCCTGCAACTGTCTCGCCACCACCCCCTCAATTAATTTGCCCAAATAGGGCAAATTGGAAACCAGCCGATAGTTAGCTAATTCTGCTGGATCCAGAGATGGTTTTTTCAGGAGAGGGCGGACCATCGCTTCCTTGAGTGCCCCTGGGAACAGCCCCTCAGAGAGGGACTTGTTGATAATTTCCCTTAGGGCACCTTGGAACCCCTCATGGCCAGCTTTGATAAGCCAGGAAGGGCACTGATCAAGGCTGCATGTGGTTGGGCGTACAGCTGTGAGCAATCTGTCAACTTCCTCCAGGCTGAGCGGGCTGAAATGATCCAAAATCAAAGACGTGCAAGGGGCCTCGAGTTCTCTCACTGTATCAATTTTGGCGGGGAGGTCGCGGTGGAGCGCCAAGACTTTATCTGCGAAATAGCTCACAAATGCCTCGCAGCCAGTGTCCAAGTATGAGGTTGTAGATTTCCATAATGGTGTCTCTTGCTTTTGTCAAATAGTAATGAAAACCACAGATCTCGCTCATAATGTGAGCATTTGTTAGATTCTTTTCTACATAGATTGTGGGTTCCTGCCACTTAGTGTGAGACACAACAAACACAGCAGCTACAACTGCTTTTTGTATATGAATCCTAGGTAGGGTTACCAGCCTCCAGGTGAGGCCTAGAGATCTTCCAGAATTACAACTGGTCTCCAGGCAACAGAGATTAGTTCCCCTGGAGAATATGGCTGCTTTGGAGGATGGACTGTATGGCCTTATGTACCAATTAGGTCCCTCCCCTCCCCAGGCTCGACCCCCTAAATCTCCAGGTGTTTCCCAACCCAGAGTTGGCAGGTGGGGGTGTTGCTCCCAGTTTAAAACAAGGTAGGTTTGGGTATGGAAGGACAAGTGAGAGCCAGCAGGACGTAATGGTGCTAGAGAGTCTGACTAGGATCTGGGAGACCCAGGATCACATCCCCGCTTTGCCATGAATCTCACTGGGTTACCTTGAGCCAGCCACAATGCACACTTTCTCACAGCCTAACCTGCCTCAGTGGAGCTGAGGTGGCTCAAGTGGTTAAGACGCTGAACTTCAGGCTGTGGAAGGTCGGTAGTTCAGCAGTTCAAGACCCGAGTGTGCCGCATGACGGAGTGAGCTCCCGTCTCTGGTTCCAGCTCCTGCCAATCTAGCAGTTTGGAAGCAAGAAATTGCAATTAGATAAATAGGTACCACTTCAATTGGAAGGTAACAGCGTTCCGTGCGCCTTGGTGCTTAGTCATGCTGGCCACATGACTACGGAAACGTCTTCGGACAGCGCTGGCTCTTCGGCTTTGAAACAGAAATGAGCACCGCAACCCTAGAGTCAGATTCGACTGGCTTTCGAGCAAGGGAACCTTTACGTTTTACCTTTAACCTACCTCAAGGTATTGTTGTGAGGGTAACACAGAGAATGGGAATACATAAACACATGCAGCTGCCCTATATGGTATCAAATCATTGTTCCTGCAAGGTCAGTATTGTCTGCTCAGACTGGCAGCAGCTCTTCAGGGCCTCAGGCAGAGGTCTTTCATATCACCTACTGCATGGTCCTTTTTACTGGAGATGCCAGGGATTGAACGTGGGACCTTCTGCGTGGCAAGTAGATGCTCTGCCACTGAGCCACAGCCCTTCCCTCATGCTGCCCTGAGCTCCTTGGAGCAAGAATGGGATTAAAAAATCTGCTAGTTATTAATAATAATAGTAGTAAAGCATAGGACTTGCTAACTGTGAGTGTCCTTGGGCAGGCTCCTTCCTTTCAGCCTCATAGGTTTGTTCTGAGGCTGAAAACGGCTTTCAGGTCTTTTGAAGGAGGGCCGCATACAATTGTAACATTTTTTTTAAAGAAGACAGCAAAGAGTCCAAGCTGTGATACAGTCTGTAAACAAAATCATTTGTTCGTTAGTCAGCTGAAGTCAGCAGGACACTCTTAACTTAAAAGAAGCTGTCTTGCAATTTACCCCTCCCTCCTCCAATCAGATGGAGTTGCGGTGGCTCAAGTGGTTAAGACGCTGAACTGCAGGCTGTGGAAGGTCAGTAGTTCAGCAGTTCGAGACCCGGGTGCCGCATGATAGAGTGAGTTCCCATCTCTAGTTCCAGCTCCTGCCAACCTAGCAGTTCGAAAGCAAGAAATTGCAAGTAGATAAATAGGTACCACTTCGGTGGGAAGGTAACTGCGTTCCGTGCGCCTTGGTGTTTAGTCATGCTGGCCGCATGACCATGGAAACGTCTTCGGACAGCGCTGGCTCTTCGGCTTTGAAACGGAGATGAGCACCGCAACCCTAGAGTCGGATTCGACTGGCTTTCGAGCCAGGGAACCTTTACCTTTACCTCCAATCAGCAACAACAAGATTCATTTGCTCTCAAGTAATGAGTCATGGAATAAAGAGTTTTTGCATTTTAAAAAATTGGTTTTAAAGGTGGACTCTATGGCATTATAAAGTTGTGATTTTTATTTGTGTTTTAATTTGTTAGCCACCTCAGTAGCCCTTGTGAGTACAGGAAAGCACGGATTGGGATATACATTTTGTAAAATGAATAATATACATTAAAAACAGAAACAGTGTAGCCTACGTTCTAAGCAAGGATTGATTAAAACGAGATAAAGTCTTGAAGTTTCAATATACTTTTTAAAGTAAAAAGTTTTATTCATTTTTTAATCTGCTGTGATATGGAGTCATCTACATTTCTGTTTACTATTTTGCTGTTTGCATTGGTGGACATTTAAGGCCTTTGCCATCCAATGGTTTTCCACCACATTAAAGGGCAATTCTGTACATATTTGTCTTTCCTGACTATGGAAAACTTGGGGTGTTTCTTGACCAGTGTCAGATAAAGACTGCAATTCTCCCCTTTATTATATTGGCATGCTACTTTTCCATGCCAGGCATGCCTAAGGCAGCTCACAAAATATTACAAACAATTAATTACAATTATGAAACCTCAAAAGGGCAGTAATAGTTAAGCAAAACTGAAATCCAAGGATGAAATGCTTATCGGAGGGCTCTGGAATAGGTGGGTCTTCAGTGGACACCAGTAGACCTGCAACAGTGAGGTCAAAGTAATCTCTGTCTGGATAGTGAGTTCCACAGTTTGGAGGTGGCAACCAAACAGGTCATTGTTCAGGTCCCCTCTAGATGTGCACTTGTTAGTTTTGGTTTCTGTAGCAAACTGTCCTCACATGAGCATGGGCAGGAACAGACAAGATGGACGGAGTCCTTTGGGTGCTTTGGACCCAAGAGCTTGCTTTAGTTAAGAACTTGGTTCTTGGTTTCCTGTGTTTTGAGTACCATACACTATGGGTTTTCCTTGTTTACTGATCTTTGTAAAAATACTTTACAGGGGACAGCAGTTTGCACAGCAGATACAGCAGCAAAACCCAGAACTTATAGAGCAGCTGCGAAACCACGTCCGAAGCAGATCTTTCAGCAGCAGCACGGAGGAACACTCCTGATTTAAGAGGCACCTGTTAGAACGTTGTTCTACTAACTCCAAAAGGCATACTGTAGCTTGTAGCAAATATCACCATTGTAATTCTTCTCAGACATGAAATGGGAAATCTTTTGTGTGTATTCCTTATTGTCTGTTGAAAACAGATTCATTGCACACAGATCTGAACATATCATGTATGTATATCGATGCCTTTGTAAATGGAATATAAATAGAGCTGGTGACGTATTAAAATCTCTATGTACAAGGGAGCATTTTCATAGCAAGTGGACGATGGTACCTTACTCTTCTCTCTTGGAGAGAGTGGATTTTGTTTATATGCCAAGACTGTATATTGAAGCAGAGATCACCAAGTGGGAGAGGAGTGGAGCAGATAGTGCTGATGAACCATGTAATCTTGTACAGAAATTGTTTAATGTTGTATAAGGCAACCTCTCTCAAATCAGAGGACTGCCCCCCATGCAAGTCTATGGGAAATACAAAGAATTGTGCATGCCTTATTGGAAACAAGCCTATAAAGGCTCAACTCTCTCTGTCTTTCCCCCCAAAGTGAATTACCACTTTATAGCGACTGTGAGGGAAAAAGTAATAAGTTTGGTGGAGTTACTTCAGGCTGAGATGTCACAGGAGGGGGGGGGGTTGAGCAAACAGATACTGGGGTGGGGGTCAGTGCTTGACTAGGAAGGTGAAGTTGTGCAGAGTCTGGAGCTGGATATAGCCAAAGAGGTTTGGTGATCATGGACTGCCAATGGTATTTTCAAAGGGTGCGCTACTTAAGAGTAGCAGTTGCTTGTGTCGTTCAGGGGGGGCATGGCCTGGTTACCCTACAGCTGTTGTAGAGGTTAACAGATCTAAAAAAACAATACTGTTCTGCTTTGTGTCAGGAGAGAGAGAAAACAAGCAACAAAGTAACAGACAGTATTTTTAACTTGTGATTGAACAGTGGAAGATTCAAAGTACCGGAGCCGTTTGGTGTGCATGGCTGATAGAAAAGGAGATAAATTTATAAGAGATGGAGGAGAGATACACAGGAATGTAAGCAACACTGTATATAATATAAAACATGTTAAGCTGGGAAGTCCGCCAACAATACTCTGAGAGAAACTCGGTAAACCTGTAATTTCACCCTGGGAATAGCTCTGGAAAAACTCCATCATGGAATGACAAATAAAATTAAGGTTGTTAATACAGTGAGCATAAAACTCTTCACTTTGGTCAAATTAATCTGTTTGCTTAAGTATCTATGAAAGGATTGTCTACATATTAGTAGCTGTCTTAAATGCCTATCTTTTAAAAAAGTGTTTAGAAGACTCTTCAAGTTCATACGATGACATGTATCTCTCTAATCTGCTAATGTCACTGGTGTTCTCTTTTGCTCTGGACTCTTCTTATTGGTGTCTTAACCATTTTCTTCCTGATTTGCTACATGTACCCCCTTCCTACTGAATTTTTTTTAACTTGCTTTTGCACTTCTGCAGAACTGATTTAGAAAGCTGTTCAGGGGCCAGATTTTTCTGAGGTGACAGTATTAAAGCAATATTCAGAGAGTAGTTCAGGGGAACATTGTGTGGCTAGAAAGTTGTGTGGGGTAGAATAACTAAGTTTGCAGAAGAACTAACTGCTGCTCTATTTCCTAAAATCTTTCAATGTCCACTCAATATAGAACAACCGATGTGATGGATTCACGTGGTCCCTATGGACCTGTCCTTTCCACAAAGTATAACACCTTCTGTCTGTCTCCAGCGAGTTTTCATACCACGTACCTGGTTATTGGAGTGGGTGCACCAAATGTACTTAGGAGCATAATATGAGGCTGAACAAATGTAAAGAAAACACTGAGTCAGAATATAGATGATATCAAGCCTGAAGTTGCTTTTAAAAGCAAAGATGTAAGAGCTCCTCAGCCCACTACGGTAATTGTATTTGCATATTTAACTGTTCCAAATTATGTCACAGCAGTTAATTATGGCTAGATGGCCTAAAGTCATTGGGAAGCTGATCACTGGGCAAATTCAGCTAAGTGGCAACTTGCCCATTTGCCTTTGCAGTGGTCACTGTAACTAGTCCGATGTTACAGACAGATGTGCTCTTATGAATACATATAGGCCTGAGTACCACTTTATGCAGCCTTTAAAGTATTAGGCAAAGCTGTCTTTGCAATGGCACAATACTAGCATTTTTACAAAACTAGACAGAAGGGATTTCCAACATGCTCATTTCAGAAAGCAACACTTGACAGTGGCTGTTCTCGTTCTACTCTTAATTCATTATCTCAGTTTTCCATAGAAGACCTATGAATCAGTCTTGTGTTGTTTATGGAATAAGTTTAATAAAGGGAGTGAAACTACAAAGCACTTTATTTGCATTATTTTTATATAATATTGCTTTTCCATTAATGCATAAAGTGATTCGGTTGTATACAAAAGGACTAGGTCTGGCAAGGTTCTACTGCCAACTATGAAGAGAGTCCTATTACCAGAGAGCAGTGTTCCTGAAAATATTGTGATGATACTGAGTTCTGTATGACTGGCTTACAAGTGTGGGAATGACTTCACCCTATTAAATTATCTAGAAATACTTAGCTCGTATTCTTAATGGTGCATTTGCAATATAGTCATTTTATAGAGTTAATATTGGGAGACATTATAGTTACAGTTAAAATTATTGATGTAAGTATATTGATGAGTATTCTAGTTACAATTCTCCATGTAATGGAAAGACTCGTTAACAGAATGAGTTCAAGAAAGTCTTTAACTATATAGGGTAGCTGCATTTTATTTTGCACAAATAAAAGTGCATAGAATACATTTCAGCGCTAATACTGGATTTTGCATCACTTTTAATCTAACAATTTGTGTAATAAAACTGAATGTTTTATTACACAAATGATCAGAAAGATCTTCCTTTTGTGTCTTAACAGTGCAATCCCTAGCAGAGGTCTAGCCTTCCAAGTCCATTGAAATCAATGGGTTTGTGTAATAAAACTGAATGTTTTATTACAATGCAAGAATAGCAGTGGTTGGATTTTAAACCGTAGGATTTTTCTTCAACCTCAATGTATGGCTACATTTTAAAATTCTTGGCACTGTTCCACTTCCTACATTTCACAGGTAGAACGTATGGCTTTTAAAAAAAAAATCTGAATGCCTGAATCCTCAGCATTTTTCTAAACATTTCTTCATCCCAAATATCCAAACGTGAGTCAGTTTTTTGGGAGGGAAAGGTGGAAGAGTCTTTTAGCATGCACATGGCTGGGTAGGATTTTTTAGATTTATATGCTGATTCTCCGGCGTTCTGCTTGAGATTACTTATATGCAAAAACTACAATGCTATCATAATAAATCAATAAAAAACCCATTGAGCATGTTAAGAAATATCCGTAAAACAGACCTCAGACTGTGAAACCCACAACAGCAAAACCCCTTACTTAGTTAAAAGCCTAGGTAAAAATAAATGTTTCAGCCTGGCAACTGAAAGCCTACCTAGTAGGGGGGAGGGACATTTCAAAGGCAAAGTGGCACTACTGAAAATGTCTTGTCTCTAGTTGCCCCCTACCTCACCTCTGAAGGCTGGGGCACAGAATGAGGTTACTTAGAGGACACTTGATGGAAAGAATTTTGCTGTTGACTTAGTCTGGCCCAACATCTGCCTCACAGAGGAAGACTGCAAAAAAACCCCCAGCTTTACTTCAAATCTACAGAGCCACAAGAAGGGTATCAGGGGATGTGACACAGATACAATGAAGACTGTGAATGGTGCAGAGACAGCAAGTGTTCAGAATTTCAGTGTGTTCCAGGCTGTGCAGCCCTTCAGGGAATGTTCTTGAGAGCCAGTTTGGTGCAGTGGTTAGGAACACAAACTCTAATCTGGTAGAACTGGGTTTGATTCCCCACTCCTCCACATGTAGCTGCCGGTGTGACCCTGGGTCAGTTACAAGAACTTTCTCAGCTGTTCTCTCAGGAGCAGTTCTCAAAAGACCTCTCTCAGCCCCACCTACCTCAGCAATGTTCCCTCTAAGCTGAGTTAGTGTGAGCTAGCTCACAATTTTTTAGCCTCTCGCTCACACATTTTTGTCTTAGCTCAGGAAGGATGGCTCCAGAGCAAATTAATTTATGCAGTAGCCAAATTGCTCGCTCACAACTTTAATGCCAGTAGCTCACAAAGTACAATTTTTGCTCAAGAGACTCCACAGCTTAGAGGGAGCATTGCTCACAGGGTGTCTGTTGTGGGGAGGGGAAGGGAAAGGAGGCTCTAAACTGCTCTGAAATTCCTTTGGGTAGTGAAGGGTGGGATATAAATCCAATCTCTTCTTCTTGCTCTGCAGAAATGATATATACTTTGAAGCCTTCGGATCCTGTACACGTTTTTGTGTACCTTTTACAGTTTTTCTTGCTGTTAGTGTATGAACTTGAGGACTCGGGGGGGGGGACAAAAACAAGCAAGAATAAGAAAGCTATTTGTCAAAAGTTGTGGAATCTGGTTCATCTGTCAAAGTAATCCTGAAGCCTGCACACTGTTATGAGGGGGCATAACTAATCAATGAAACCTGCAGAAAGGACTGCAACCTTGTTAGTTATTTGGGAAAAGTGCAAATTGATTATTTCATCCTCCTGGTGGTGGTTGATCTGAAAAGCTGCTAACTTGACTGTCATCTTTTCTCAGTCCCATGACTTCCCTTTAAGGCAGGACTGTCTGAACACAGGAATACAGAATATCATATGGATGAATGGAAACATGTAGAAGAAAAAGAGGTTGGATTTATACCCCGCCCTTCACTACCCAAGGGAGTCTTAGAGCGGCTTACAAACTCCTTTCCCTTCCCCTCCCCACAACAGACACCCTGTGAGGTAGGTGGGGCTGAGAGAACTCTGACAGAAACAGCCCTTTTCCAAGAACAGCTGTGCCAGAACTATGGCTTGCCCAAGGTCATCCAGCCAGGTGCAAGTGGAGGAGTGGGGAGTCAAACCTAGTTCTCCGTTTCCCCGAAAATAAGACCTACCCCCAAAATAAGCCCTAGCAGGATTTCTATGCATTTGTGGTATAAGCCCTAGTGTGTCTTCTTGAGAAAAAATAAATATAAGACAGTGTCTTATTTTCGGGGAAACACGGTAGGTGAGAGTCCGCACACTTAACCACTATACCAAACTGGCTGTACCCAGAACCTACAAGGCCTGTCTTTTCTGTTATGTCCTTGGAAGAGCATTACGGTCTTCACATAACGACTTGTTGGTGGTCCCCAGCCCTAAAGCTATCTGGCTGTCCTGTCCTGGCCTTTTCAGTCCTGGCCCCAACCGGGTGGAATTATCTGCCAAACCATGAGGGTCCTGTGGGACCTTATGCAATTCTGCAGGGTCTGTAAGGCAGAGATGTTCCACCAGGCCTTTGGTTGAGGACAGCAACAGTTTCTATCAGAGCTGGCACGCTTTCTGCCCCAGCTGCTTTCCATATCTGTTTTACCCTCTTCCTCCTTGTCCACAAAGCGGCCACCAGTCTGTAATAGGATAAATTAATATTTGCCATCTTTTGTTTGAAATACGTTATTAATGTTTTTATTGTTTTATCTTGACGTTTTTGTGAATGATGTACATTCTCCAGAGCCCTGCACTGCAGGGATTGGGCAATTAACAAATTTAATATATTGGCCAGGTGCTGGGTCTGCTCCTCTTCCCCGCCCATTTTCACTTCAGCCCCTGTTCCCTGTCAGATTTACTGGCAGACAGCTCTCTCTACTGAGGAAGACACTTCTATTGGCTCCTGTGTGCGAATAACTTCCCCCTCAGTGGGTGTTGGTATGCAACCAAGCTTGCTTTTGTCAGTAAAAAGACAAGACTTTCAGCATAATCCCCTCCCCTGCCCACTGCCAGCTTGGCCACTTTCCTTCAGAATAAACTGAAAACGGCTCTCTCTCTTTTTTGGCTCCGCCATGGCTGGCTGGCTAATGAGGTGGGCCAGCGGCCATCAAACCATTCTTTCAATCCCCCGCTTTTCAGCTGACTTTCCCCTAGGGTTGCCAGTTTCCAGGTGGGACCTGGAGATCTCTTGCTGTTACAATTGATCTCCAGATGACCGAGATCAGTTCCACTGGAGAAAATCTGCTTTGGAGGGTAGACCCTATGGCATCATACCCTGCTGAGTCCTTCCATCCCCCCCCCCAATGCTGCCCTCCACAGGATCCACCCCCCAAATCTCTAGGTATTTCCCTAATCAGAGCTGGCAACTGTACTTTCTCCTCAGTGCTTGCTGCTAGGCAACCAAGCTTGGTTTTGTGAGTAAAAGGCCCTTTCCACACCAATGTTGGCCTTTGGGAGAAAACGCATTGGGGCCAGTCCTGATAGGGTTGCCAACTCCAGGTGGGAAATTCCTGGATATTTGAGGGATGGAGCCTGGAGAGGGTGAGGCTTGAGGAGGGGTGGGACCTCAGATAGGCACAATGCCAACTCCACCCTCCAAACCAGCCATTCCCTGTGGGGAAACATTGTTGCCAATCTCCAGGTGGGGGCTGGAGATCACTCAGCGTTACAACTGCTCTCTAGGAGGGAGGGGGGAGGAGATGGATGGCTGAAGCCAGGGGACAGTTAATGGTAGGTTGACAGTTGGCTGGGAGGGAGATAGGGTTGCCAACTCCAGGTTGGAAAATTCCTGGAGAGGGTGAGGTTTGAGGAGGGGTGGGACCTCAGACAGGTACATTCTCCACCCTCCAAACCAGCCATTCCCTCCTGGGGAACAAAAGTTGCCAATCTCCAGGTGAGGGCTGGAGATCACTCAAAATTACAACTACTCTTCAGGTAGCAGAGATCAGTTCTTTGGGAGGATATGGTGGGAGGTGTTATACCCTGCTGAGGGTGCCACAGCAAATTGTCACTGAGTGCCCAAAGCCGGGGCACTCTCCCAGAGCCTCTTTCTAGAGCTCATTGTATTTATTTCCACAGTAGGCCTTATTCCTAGTGGAAAATAATGGACAGGAGAAGGCACTGCCTGAGGTATGAGACCTGAGCCATTTAAGGCTTCAGAGATGACCATGAGCTCATGTCAACAGAATCTAGTTCCACAGGGAAGCTTCTTTCTCAGGTTTCTACTTGCCTGTTTCCTTAGCTTCCATCTCACACATAGAATTCAATCCATACTGTATTAGCCCTTCAAATTCATCTGGGTGATATTCTGTGTGCAAACAATTCTGCCTTAAAAGTAGAACATGGGATTAAAAGATAACTGTTCAAGTCAATTAACATCAGCATAAGAATACCATTCTCAAATAACTATATCTAGTATATTTTTAACCCACCCTTCCTCCAAAAAGAACATATTCTTCCCTTCCTCATTTTATCCTTAAAGCCACCCTGTGAAGTACATTAGGCAGAAAGAATGATTGGCCCAAGATCACCCAGCGAGCTTCAAGGTAAAGTGTGGATCTGAACTCACATCTTTCATATCCTAGTTTAAAGCCCTGTCTACTACAATCACACTGGCTCTTATCTAGGTATTTCAGATCATGTGCTTAGATTATTCTAAAACAAGCTGTGCAGAAATAGAAATAAATACAATTATGACAGCTGCACAGTTGGATTAAAGGCTTTATTTCCAAATAGATTAAAATAGTATATTGGCTCTTTACAAAAAAGAACTGTTTTTAAACATTCCAGAGATGCCAGATTGACTTCCAGAGGGACAGTTAAATAAGGAAATACTTGCTTCCATTACAGATGGATGTCGTTTGGCATAGTCATAATTTTGTTACTAGACATTTGGTCTAAATAGCTCAGTGACAAATATTAAAAACAAAAAGATGATTTTCTTTCAGTTCTCTTTTATTTTTGAAGAAACCACGCAGACTTGTGCAATATCATCATACTCGTACGTTCTCTTCAAAAAGGTGTCTGTTAGTCTCAAGCCAGAGATGCTCTAAAACAGGAAGAAAAGGATTGGAACAGATTTTATACTGGCAGGAGAAACCAGCCTTCTGAGTTGGGATAAGCAGCATACTTCATCAGTTCACACATAATGCCAACTGGGTCTGCACACTCCCCTATCCTTCTTTCTTTTGTGTTGGGAAGCATACCATAGTTTGCCAGTATATCCAGATCTGTATTCTATGGTTTACCAAAAGCAGAGAGAAAGTGCAGAGAGAAAGTGCAAGTCATAGACCATTGGTCGGGACACAAAGGAAAATTATGCCATGCAATAGGAAGAGAGAGAAGTGGAAGCATGTGAACTGGAACCCAGTGGTCATACCGTAGATTGGCCATTATGATAAAAATGGGCTCTAGTCTTGTTTTTTAATTCTGTTAAGGGGAGTCTTACTTGTAGCCCTTGTACTGATGATAGCAGTGTAAGTGTCAGGTGGAGGGATGAAATGGGGTGCAGTTTGCCCAGCTGTCTTCCCGATACGCCACACCAGTGAATGGAATTAGTGTTGCACATTTCCAAAACCAGGTCCATAGTCCTTTCACTGCTAGAAAGAAAAAGAAAGAATTAATATAGATCTCAGTGCAACTGGGCCTCAGAGAAACTCTCACTTTTCCTCTGAGGAATCTTAGGTATATTTTTCATTGCCACCACAAACAGGGTTTGTTAAGTACAACACGCAACTACTGTCAGCTAGGAATGGGCATGAACCAAACCATGAAGCAAAATCCATGATGAATTTTTTCCTGTTCTACCGTAACAAACTTCATCAAACTTTTAAAGCAGTTTGTGGTGGTTCGTGGATACAGCAAGGGTCCCTTTAAATGCCGTGTCTCCTTAAACCTCTGCTTTCTGTTCCCCGCAAAAGCTGAAAAACAGCTGAGCAGCGGGGAGCATGGCTCAGCTGTTTTATGGGCTTTCTGCAAACCCCTTTTAAAGGGACTTTTGTCCCTTTCAAGGGTGTTTGCGGGGCCACAAACTGGCTTGGTGCACGAATGAACCTCCCAGTTCAGTTCATGGTTTGGCTACAAACCACAAACCAACATGAACTGCATTCTTCTGGTTTGTGCCCGTCCCTGCTGTCAGGATTCACTGGAACACACAGCTAATGAAAGGTCTTTACCAAGCATTACTCTTTTACCGACAACCTGTTAAGTCTTTTCATTTAGAGCATTATTACCTCCTAATCTGGGGCAGAACTGATAAGAGAAGCAACATCTCTATTTTATTGGGATTTGGTGAGAGTATAGATCTTGCCTCACAGCAAGAAGCTGAACAAGACACTTATCCATCTGCACAGAGATTTTACAATCCAGGAGAATACAGGTGAGCATCCATATCACATTGTTCAGCCCTGTTGATACAGATGCACATTTCCATCCAGGGTCACTAATGGTGTGCAATAATTTTTGACTCGATACAGCCTGTGATTCTACTAAGGATTAGTACATGTTTCCCTAAGGTAGGCACACTCCCACAGTTCTGATCACTTCTCAGATCACTGCAATTTAGCAGGTAAGGAGAAGGGCTGTATAACAACAGAAAATGCTGAACAACATTTCCACTAGTTCTAAAATCTATTTCAATCCACACTTAAAATATTCCTGCCGTACATGGAAGTGGAAAGCAAAAGGCTGGATCCTTAGTACTAAACAAACTTAAAGAATTCTGAAGCCAAAATGGGAGGGGGAAACCCACTTCATTACCTGCAATTTGTTATTTTACATGTAATATCAAAAGGTTCTTCCACGTTTACTGTGTCTGGTATGGTCTCCAATGAAAGCCTCACATCCCCATAACCTGGGGCCTAAAAAAAATATTAGAAGTTTATCAGAAGCATGAATAATAGATATAATGCGAAATATTGAGGAATGAGTGAATTACAGAGAGAAATTGTGAACTGCGGAAGCAACATTATGATATTCAAAATGGTTAAAGGACCTGGAATCCTCACTTGGACTTTTTATCAATACAAGCATGCCCCAAGATTATTTTACACTCAGAAAGACTAAGCTTTTAATACAAGAGGAAACAATTCACAAACAGTGTTGTATATGCAAGGCCAATTAAAGTGTGAGTTGGTTAGGGTAATGGCAGAAGCTGCTCACCCCCCACCCACCCCATTTATTTCAGTGGTTTCCTACACTTCAGGTATGGTTAATGGATTACTTTCCAAAGTAGCAGGTAAACATGAATGCAGTACTTTTAACAAGCTGGTTATGCAAACCCAGAAAACAAGTAAAAGACCAGTTTTGCCAGATCGGACCAAGGCCCATCTAAGGTCAAGACTGTCTTCTATCACCCACCTGAATCCAATCCAATATTTACAAAGTATTTCCTTTGTATATGGAGATTCTATTTAGCTGTTATAGTCAAAAACATTCCTCCATACATGCACATACTTTTTGGAAGCCTTCTAAACTAGGGATATCACTAGGCTTGATGGTAATGATTCTTATGATAATGATGTATGGTAAAAAAAGCATGTGTCTTTTCTCTAGTTCCTGATACTCAATCCTTAAAAGGAAGGGGGTGTCCAGTGAAAAACAGTATGAAGAAATTCCATTTTACATATCAGTTATGGCATAACATTTAGTATTTAACTCCTGGCAGGAGAAGAATCATACATGTGCACCATTACTTAGTAGGACAACAATATTTAGTGAAAGAGGCTTCTGTTGTATATGCATTCTGAATTCATAGTTAGCAGGCAAGTTCTACATTTCCCCTGTCCATTCACTAAATGAAATTCAGTTTCAGTACCCAGTTACTATGAGAGAATATTCCAGATCACTCACCATTCGTTGGAGCTGACTAGTTTGCAACCTTCCTCTTTCCCCCAAATTTGTCTTCCATACAATGTCTAACTTTCCAATTACTGTTACGCCTTTAATGACTCCTGCTTTCTCTGCAAATTCTTGCTTTGGTTTTAGGCAGTATAAATACTGACGTGTGTCCATAGGTTGCAAATATGTCCTCGTCCCAAACGTGGACATACTGGAAGGAAAGAAACATTTAGCTTAGCAATGAATAGCAGATCTATTTTGGTGTGACTATTTCTGCAGGGGCACTGAGGTTACAAATCAACTTAGAAAACCTGTTTTGCTAAAATTAATGTCAAATGATGATGGCAGATAACTCTTTAAAATGAAATAAAGATATGCAAAGAAGTTTAAAACAAATGAAATCAGAAGTAAACCCCTGTTGTTAAAACAACGGCTCTTCAGGATCAAGCACACACTGTTAGTTCTGCAGCAGGAGGATGTGAAGGTGAATTATGATATTACAAACATAGATAAGAGGCTGAACTCTTAACAAAATGCAATCCCATGATTTCTTGCCAGCTATGGGGGTTTGCCTGCCTGCAGATCTTTTGACCCATTCTAAGTGGAGAGGACAGGTTCATGCATGGTAAATATTGCATGTCAAGCTATTTTTTTTCTATTACACCCAATGGAGGAGCCTGTTTCTATAGGGGCACTGGCTGAACATTGACTGAGTACATTTGCAGCTCCAAATGCCTTCTCACCAATTTCTGGAGACCAGATCACCCAAGGGCTCAGATGGTGCAAGCGTGTTGTGGCACATGCCGGCAAATTATCCAGAACTGTCACATTTCTGTATTCACTAGAACTTGTATGCTGGAATATATTAGAAACTTGCTCAATCATTGAAAGCCAGCTAATCCAGAAGTGGTGTGACACAGAATTATACCCTGAATCCATGATAAGGAAGACCATAAACGGAAGATCATAAGAATAGCTTCACCAGCACAGTTTCCATTTCCTACAAGTTAAAACAGAATAGTAAAGGCCCTTACCTTTCCCCACTTCGGCTGACAGCATTTAATTCTGCAACATTGTACATAATAGAAGGTTCTAATGAAACCTTCTCCATAAACATGGGGGAGGTTGTGATATTCTGAATCTGAGCTTCCAGAAAAACTTCGTCAGTCTGAAAAACCAGAGAAAACTCTTAAGGAAGAATAGCCCAGAGAGAAGAAAGCAGCAGCATCTTATAGGTTTGTAAAACATTAATCACAAACGCAGTTAGTTCATGCCTGCAAATCAAAGAAACAGTCATTAAATGTGAGGGGGGGGGGGAAGGTCTTCATCCCAACAGACAGCAGTAGGAGCAACACTGTTAGTTGATTGGTATAGTGCTGAACAATGGATGTGGGATAAATTCATTATACTCTCCTATTTTCTTTTAGAAGGGGGTATGTATGTAGTCTTAGCAAGACTTGCCTCGAGAATTCCAAAGGCTGGCATCAGCTCAGTTTTACCCAAGGAAACTAAAATACACATTAGAGACAGGTGAAATGACTGTGATGCGCAATACAGACATGCCATGCTCGATTAAACGATGCATCAGGCTGCATACCATGTTACAGGAACATCAATAGGGACTTTATTGATGTGTCGACTGTTACAAGAGCTCAGATGCATATACCAGGAGCACCATTTGGGATTAGGCTAGCCACGATCACACTATACTCCAAATTCTCTAGTTGACCTCTCGTTAAGACAGCATAGTAGCAAAACAGATCTCTTTTTTTTGCCATCAAGTCAAGCCGACTTCTGGCAACCCCTAGTGGGGCTTGGAGGCAAGGGACGTTCAGAAGGAGCTTGCCACCGCCTGCCTCTGCATCACGACCTTGGTCTATTCCCTGGAGGTCTCCCATCCAAGTACTAGCCCTGCTTAGATTCCGACATCTGACGAGATCAGGCTGGCCTTCCACAACATTATCAGCCGGTATTGTACTACCCCATGCAAGGAACACCTTGTTTTCCCTCATTCCTCCCTGTTTTGCAGCCCCTCCAGCCCCTAGAAAGATTATTCCCAGGGTGTCAAGAATGCACAAAGGAACAAAGTTGGTGGGGGCTGGAAAGGCCCAGGAAGGGGGGGGATCATTTCACTTCCTTCTTTCACAAGCACAGTTCTGCTGAGAAGAGGGGTTTACATCATCCCTTTCTTCCTGCTCACTTCAGTCCGCCGAACCTCATACCTGTTCCTTGCCATTGATCCTGCAGCCCCAGCACTGATCATTGGGGGGGGGGGGTTCAGAAAGAACTGCAGGGAAGGACAGGGACATGGGAACACTCCCTATTCCTTCTGCTCATAGATAGTAGGATACTGCCTATTATTTCTACCTCCAAAAGCTAGTAGCAAAATGAGTGACTCCCACTACGACTGCTAAAAAACTGCTGTTGGAAGATGGTTATTTTCTTCACTGAGAGAATACAATACAGAATATAAACTCTGTAGAATTAGGTCATTATTTTGTGCATATACCCTGTCTATAATGGTTTCTGAAAACAAAAACATGAAGTTAGGGAGGGCCATAAATATGGAACTTCAGTCTAGCATGCCCCTACCTTGAAGTGACGGGAATTAATATGGATTTTGCCTTGGGGAAAAAAGCATATTAACCATCACGCGATGGCTAAGCCAACTTCATACCCCACAGCAAATCATATACTACATGGTGATTCGTATTTCAGAACGCAGATACTGACGTGCCCCTGCAAATGCCAGTGGAATGATCATGGCGTTTAGTTAGGAAATGCCGCCATGCAACTTTCATGGCACAAGTGCACTCTGATCAGTCTGATTAAAGTCTCTGCAGGATTTCAGTCCTACAAAGTAGAACAAGATATCTGGACATTCAAAGCTAGTTTCAAATTAAGCCTGCTGACTTTCAAAGAGATGACCGCCTGGGGAGAATCAAGAGAACCATCTGATCAAAAGCTCTAACATCATGTCTAAGGACAAGCCTACAGCGCCCCAATGTAAAAGGAAGCTCCGTCAGTACACAGGAAAATTTTGTTTTCTGTAGGTGAATACAAGACAGCCACTCTACCTACTTTCCACAGGAATTAAATCACACCAAAATGAGGTGGAATTTCATGTTGAGTAGTGATAAACAAGTGTAGAATAATTCAAGCCTATCACATTCCATGTTGTGGGAAGGATCTTCAAGGATAATGGAGACAGACATACTCATGCCAGACACCAATGAGAAATAAATTCCGGTTATCTTGCTTAAGAGAACCTGCAATTAACATATATTTTCCCAGCACTAGGGATCACAAATTTTGAACAATTCTAAAAGAATATCCCATAAATCCATTGCTTATGTCTGTTTCCAAATTTCTCATCAGTATGTTTTAAAACAGCAACCGGCAACAGAAATTTAAGAAGAGCAAAGTTGTATAAAACAAAACCAGCAGGCATAATGAAAAAGCAAAGCCGCTTATAACACCATAAGAGTTTTAGTTTCAGTAATTTGCATTAAAATTTGAACTGAAATCACGTTGCAGTTATTATCATTGGAATCTATTATTGCCACATGCATTCAGGGGTTTGAAAGCAGAGTTCTAGTAAGCATGAAAAGAAAGATGCAATACATCTTGTGCTCTCTCCTCCTATCCAATGTCTTCTAAACCTAACAGATGACACAAGTCACAATTTCACAAGAAACACACTCAAGTGGAAGACTGTACCCAGGCAATCCAAATTGCACAATCAGTATTATATAAATTTCTTCTGAAACTTTTAGTATTTTGCAAATTCATTCAGATTTGTCAGTCATTGGGTGAGGCAAGGAGCTTTGCAGAGCCCTGAAACCTCATTCCCAAACTCTGAAAATCTTATCCAGTAATCTGTCTGGCCTCTCTGATATCTACAGGATTACCCACAATTGTTTCAGCCTGACTTTGCACTTCAGGAAGGACTTGGATCGTGCTTTAAAAAATTAAAGCTGCTATTCTCAGGAAGCTGAATTCTGTGCTCCAGTACAGTATTACGATCTTTTATTGAATCTTAACATGCACAGGCTTGCTATCATGAGGCACAATATTCCTCTGGGATCATTTGGACCTGTATATTCAAATGGAGACAAGGAATTCATTTGACGTTCACTTAATAAACTATGAAGCTCACTACTAAGGTCTGAATTAACGTTGCTGAACAATGGATACCAAAGAGAGAGCCAATGTATTTGAATAGTTGTTTTAACCCTCCCTCTCAAAGAAAACACACGCGCACACACACACGTTATGTATGGAGACAGTGAAACATTGCTTTTCTATTACGTTTTCAAAAATAATGTTAGTAACAGGCAGAGTCACGAACAGAAGACAAGCATACATATTTATAAATAATAAATAAAATTACCACAGAACTGAGGTCACTCTAATGGGAAAATAAAAAAGAAAACATTAGAGAAATTAGGGTTAAATGTTAAAGAAAAAAGGAGGACAACTAATTTCAAATAAAATGCATTTCTTTTGCATTTTTTTGCATATTCTAAACGAGACAGCATTAGTAATAGGAATGTAAACCAGCAATGGGGAAAAAGTAAAAGGACTACTAATAAGAAATCTTATTTGTAAATAAGACTTGTGTCAGCAAATGGTACAGTGATGAAATCAAGTACACATAACAGTTATTACACCATGTACACATGGGTAAACGACAACGTGCTTGCAAGAGAAGCCCCGTATCAGACTTCCAGATGGGAGAATTTTTTTTTTTAATGTCCCTCCCTTTAAATTTTGCCCGTTATTACCTCAAGGGGAAAGTCTCAGTTAGAAGAAGGAAATATGTTCAGCACAAACTCACATTAAAAAAAAACAACTGCAAACAAATTACATGAATGTAGTAAGCACCATTAGAAGACCACAATTGCTACATGCACCTTCCGACTGTTTGAACATGTTCAATATGCTAACTCATGCCTTAAAATGAGATAGGCTTGATTCATGAGACAAAATGCATGTGGGACTCTCATCTCCTCATTACTGAACCCTGTGCCTTTTAGATATTGTCCAGAGGCAGATTGCTACACAACTGGTCATTAGCACAAATCATGAAACATCTCTCTCCATGAAGGAAACTAACACCAGGAGGGAGAGGACAAGGTCAGCAGATGCCCCCTTTACGTAAGCTTACATAATTTTTTTAAATGCGTGGAAGCATTTGAAAAAAGCCATCCACTATCTGAGTATGAAGTGGTACAGTACATTCTACTACCAATTCTGCTGCATCTGTAGTAGACCAGGCCTGAAGCACGGACTTAGGAAGGGGAAAATCACTGAGATGAAAACCTTTTACACGCAGGACTGCAAACGTTGCTGTGAAAGTTCCCCAAATGCTTCTGCAATCACACTCTCAGGCACCGATCCCCAGCCCTAAGAAATACAACCTAAAAAATGTTTCTCGGTGACCCATTCCAGAGCAGCAACAATGGATCATTGGATTTCATCACAGAAAAACTACAGCTGTTGCCACTGCATCCTTCCAGGCAATACCAGAAGCCAAAAATTAAACCCTCAGCCCACAATTCCCCCCCCCTGCTTTTGCCTACCAGACCCGAGATGAAGGACGTTACATGTTATTGCAGAATACTTTGCAAACTGCCTAATATAATTGTGAGTTCAGTGACAGAGAAAGTTACCACCTGCTTTTTGAAGTCCTTGTTTCTTTGCTTTTGGATATCACAGATTGAATCCAGCAGAAAAGCTTTCTGAAGGAGCAAAAGCCTAAAAGAGCCTCATCAACAAAATGTACCACAGCACAAAGCACTGCAGAGATGAGAGGGAAGCGAGATAGACTTGCCCCCTTCCCCCTTTAAGTAGCTTGCATCAGCAGAGGAAGGAAGGAGATGGTGATTTTACCTAATTTCCCCATTACTGATGCAGCACCCCATACCACGAGATGAATTTGGTGTGCGAGGCTCTCCTGACCCTCACAAAGGATTCTGGGAGCAAGCAGAAGGCTGCGTGGTGAAAGCAGAGGAAAAAAATCCCATCTGCTGACTTCTTCTGCAAACTTTTCTGCTTGATCCAACCCCATAGTTGTAGTGGAAGAAATCACACTAACTATTCTGTATATGGAGATATTATCTCAACTGCCATTGTCTACTGCCTTTTTCATTCACACTAGACACTTCTGTTAACCATTTTAAGGCGAGTGCCAACTTAGTTTAAAATAATAATTCCACACTTGACTGATAAAACTCATCTTTTTTGGATAAATGGATTTAATATTTTTGATAAGAAATACCATTAAAGCAGACAGGGATTCTTTTTAAGGAGGGAGCAAATCTAATTGTATACAGACACCTGTCCAAGATGGCCATGGCAAAGGCAAATGGATAGGTCTAAGTGAGAAAAGTAACAAGGGATAGACATAACTCACCTGTTTTCTTCACCTCCCCACCAAGATTATTTTTTGTCAAAGCTACAACAGCTAAGCAGCCTTTTTGTAAAACTGCTATGTAGCAACTCAATCCCTCATCATATTATGTATTCTTGGAGATCTGAGACTGACCATGCCAAAAAGAGTGAATTACCACTAGATACAGTATACTTGCTCTTTCCCCAAGTTTTTTTTTAAAATCACCTAGGTCTCAATTTTTCCCATTTCTCTTCTCAGTTTTCTGACTCTGTCATCAATACTCTGTCATCAATACATACTCCAGCTAATAAAAACAAAATTCCAAGGTCAGTTAACACAGGCAGAGATGCTACAATACTCAGGCTATACTGAAGGGAATTAAAAAAAAACATTTTGCCAGGCAGTGAAGGATGTGCTTACTTATCGATATGAACAGAACATATTCTGAAACAGGCCTTTCTCTCTTTCATGGGATCAGAAAAGATGGACAGGAAATTACAAAGCATGAGAGGAGGCTACCATTTTCCAATCCCAGAGAACCTATGAAGCAGCTGAGTCAAGCCATTAGTCTATCAAGGTCAGTACTGTCTACTCAGACAGGCAGTTGCTCTACAGGGTTGCAGGTTCACACTACCTACTATGCAATCCTTTTAAATGGAGATACCAGGGATTGAACCTGGGACCTTTTTCATGCAAAGCAACCCTTCTACTACTGTGTTTTTATTAAGAAGCCACATATTTAACAAACTACTGCATACATAACCCTAAGCACACCATTCAGCACTTACCTCAGCATTGTAGAATTTAGTTTTCACATCTAAGGGTTTGAGAACCTGTTTGAAAAAAGAATAAATGCTAAAAGGAGATTTCTCAGAACTCTCCATCAACATCAAGTACCACTTCTGTACTCTAAGTCATTAATTGGAAGCCAGCTGAACTGGCTTGCATTCACAGATGAAAAAAGTTCACTGCAGCTCAAGGGCCCAACTTTACTCAGTCTGCTCCTTCCAGTGGCTACATTTGTGTAAACATTTTGCTTCAAGCCAAGAGTATTTTACAGCAAAGTGGCAAATACTTCTGCCACAAAATGGGTATTTTCCCTTTAGAGAGAGATTTCTGGGTGCACAGCCCATCGGACTCCTTATGATAATGACACATTTTGGAGCCGCGTGGGTGGTGTCAAAAAATACAAACAATAACAATGTGCCTTTCAAAAAGATGCCTTCCTCTGGTTTCCACTAGTAACGCAATCAGTATCAGAGCAGCTGAATGCAATTCCCTATCAAGTGCTGGCGGAGCTCTCCAACTGGAAGCAAAACAAGGTCTACACCTGCACAGAGGAGCAACTGAGCTCAGCCTTAAAGCAGTACATCAATTAAGTATAGTATTATAAGTGACAGACAAATTAGGATAAAAGGTTTTTATTTGCATATGATTTTGGCCTGGAAATCAACTAGTCAAAGGAGCAGGACAGTGTGTGAATGGACTTGCCTTTAAAGGGCTCAGGGCAACCTGGTTCTCCCCCCTTTGAGGCAGATTACGGAGAATGACTGGCCCAAGGTGGCCTTCATGGACATCTGAAGCTGGATCTCCCAGACCTTGAGCAACACTGGCTCTCAAGTAGGGGCCAAATGTCTTCTGTAGTGCAGTCAAAAGCTTCTGAATCATTGCTTTTCACTTCAATGATATAATCTCACCCATATATAAGTTTAGTTTGCTTTGCTTAGTATAAAATATGTACCTCTACACTTCCCAAACTCATTTAGCAAATGTTCATACAGGACTACAGTTTCCTTTTTTCTTGGCTGAACTACTGCGCCTTTAATAACTTAAAGACAAGGAGAAATTTGGCTGATGCAGTATCTCTCCCCACCCCATTCATTTCAAGTTTATGCCAAGAAAGTTCACTTGTTTATTTCCTGTCTACAAGCTCTTAATGACACAGGCATCCTACCAGAAGAGAAAATGGCAAATCCTGCCTCCCCATGACCCTAGTGATACAACATTCCCTCACTCATGGAACCTCACTTTTCAGATTGCTTTTCTACCTATTAAGTCGTATATCAAAGTTTTATTACATTTATTTAAAAGTTTTAAACTATTCTATCTCATTTTTAATAGAGATGCAGTTCTAGACCCAGATAAGGATACTATCAGCCAAAAGCTGTGCTGCTCCTGACTGTCTTGGTGGCTGAAGCTTCCCCAGTGCTGTGCTCGAACCTACAGCCTCCTCTGGTTTGTCTCGCTAGTCTGTACCCAGCAAATCCTCAGATGAGGAACAGGCCAGGCAGAAGATACAGCTAGAAGCACACAGTGAGGGAAAGCAGAAGTTGCTGAGATTCTCAGTTGCAATGCAGTAATGGAAGTCCCATTCAAGTCAGGATCTGCACAACCCCCATTCTTGCCGTATGTGAGCCCAATGGGATCAATCCTACCACCCAGCTCAGGTAAGAGCAGAGCCTCTTTCAGCCACTAAGAGCTTCCTTCTTGCAGATGGCTCCACCCTTAGCTGACCCAAGTTGATCCTGTATCTTGAAAAGAGATCTCATTAACTTCAGATTATGATACACAACCACTAGCATCCATTCTATTCACAAATCACTTGCTTACTCTGGAGGTGTCTCAAGTAACTTGGGAGAAAATAACTCTCCTATAAATTGTTTCACAAGTATATCAAGTCTGTGTTTGGACTGGTGACTGCTGGTATTTAAATATTCAGGGCACAGTGTTCAAACTATATTGAAGAAAGGTCCCTTGGAATTATTGTAACACTGTCCTCTCTCAAAAAGGAAATTCCCCTCGTAGTCTGAGCACCATTCTCAGAGCCAAGAACTGTCTGTCATGATTCCATCACAAGTGGGAAGGTGATGGGTAATTTGGTTGCCATGTTATGTTGCAATCACTTTATGAGTTTAAAGTAGAACCAATTCTTAGAACATAAGAACATAAGAGAAGCCAATGTTGGATCAGGCCAATAGCCCATCTAGTACAACACTCTGTCACACAGTGGCCAAAAATATCAGGTGCCATATAAAAACTCTTGTGATTGCATACCTGTGGAAGAAAAGAAAAAGTGTAGTCTTACACACAGTATAATATTCTCTCTCTGTGTCCCTACCAAAATCCATTCCAAGGATGTCCAGAATCTACTATGTATCTATACCACAAGAAAACCAAGCTGTATTTTGCTTCCAGTGTATTTGCTTTGCATCATTTACTGCATCCTGTGCTCTATTTTAGCACTGAAGAAAAGTAAACTAGAGCAGGCAAAACTAACAGAAGAAGAAGAACTCAAAGATATAGCCTGGGCAAAATTATGGGCAAAACTGTAATATCGAAGCAAGACTGGGAGGAAGAGGAGGAAAAGAGTACTGATTACTTTCAGTACTGCCTGAATTGTTGCCATATCAATACCTGAAATTTGAAGAACTTTCTGAAGTACATCTTCTCACCTGTCTGTGTGGTGTAACTTACGGCACACACTAAGCTGAAAAAGACAAACAGTTCAATGGGTCTTAGCTATTTCTCAGTCTTGCATATATTCATGGGAAGTGGGACAGAGTAATAAACACAAACTGTGAAATGAATATCTTTTAGATTGGAAAATCTAAATGAAATATAAGCTCATATATCTACAATGGGGGAGGGAGTAACATTTATAACGCAAAAGAAAGTATTCGCTGTCTTACATGTGTGTCCCTATTTCTTTTACTTCATGGTGAATGACGTCATCAATGCAACAGTCTGGTTTGAGTTCTGCCACTGCTGCAGTGGAGGCTGAAAGATTCAAACGCTGCGAACTTGTCTGTAAGTCAGCCTTGGCATTGGAAAGATAGGCAGAGAATAAGAAAAGAATGGATGAGTTTCAGAAGTACCCTACTGAAAGACAAAGGCATTAACAGTGCCTGTTGTACCTAATGGCTTGAAATGTGAATAGATGGATGAAAATGAACCCTGGTAACATAATAGCATAAAATATTTATGCTTTTATGCAACAGTTCACAGAGCGTTATGATATGTGACTTCTGTGGCAGTTATCCTTTTTATTACTCAGAAGGTTGTGCAAACAGAGCGTCAACATATCTGGGCTTAATATGTTGTCGAAGGCTTTCACGGCTGGAGTTCATTAGTAGTTGTAGATTTTCCGGGCTGTATGGCCGTGGTCTTGGCATTGAAGTACCTGACATTTTGCCAGCAGCTGTGACTAGCATCCTCAGAGGTATAACACAGAAAGATGGAGGACTCGCTGTGTCAATGTGAGAAGAAAAATGGTAGGCATGTCATTTATATCTACTCAGGAAGGTGGGGTAGGGCTGAGTCATTATCTTGTAGGAGTTTCCCAGGCTGTGAATTGCTAATAGGGGAGCTTTCCTGAGGAGGTTCTTTTGCATATGGATTGGCTGTTGAGATTCTAATCTCATCTGAAGTGCTGTTGTAAGATGTACAGCATTTTGTGTTTTTTAGGACAGGAAACCATGCCCTATAAACTCTCTTCTTTCCTGTTATAGCAAACTTCTACATGGAACATTTTGAAAAAAACAAATTTAGAATCTGCACTCCACAAACCTACAGTCTGCTTCCGGTACATAGACGATACCTTTATCATTTGGATTCATGGAGAGGTAGAATTGATGGAGTTTCAACAACATCTACCTGAACATACAATTTACCATGGAAAAAGAAATTGAGGGTAAACTCCCATTTCTAGATATCACAGTCATCCGCAAAGCTAACCTTCAATTAGGTCACAAGGGCTACAGAAAACCAACTCACACGGATTGTTATTTACACAAAAACTCCAATCACCAGCCTCAGCAAAAAAGAAGCATAATCAAAACATTAATAGACCATGCAAGACAGATATGTGAACCGCACTTTCTAAACGATGAACTAAATCATCTAATCCACACACTTCAAGCAAATGGCTACTCCAAGAATGAAATCAGAAGAGTGATTAAACCAAATATAAAACAAGCAACTGAGGAAAAACAGTCTCCCACAGGAAAAGTGTTTTTGCCATATATCAAAGGAATCACTGATCAGATGGGAAAACTTATGAAAAAAGACAACTAACAAACAGTATTCAGACCCACCAGAAAAATACAACAGATGCTACGACTGGCAAAAGACAGAAAAGACCCCCTCACTTCTGCAAGAGTATACCACATACTCTGCAGTTGTGGACAGGTTTACATTGGGACCACACAGCGTAGAGATGTAAAATGTCCGGAAATTTTGAAGCTCGGGAAAAAAAACATTTTTTTCCCAGTTTTTTTCGGGGGGAAACGGAAATTTTCGGAAAAATTGAAAATGCCATCCCCGTCTTCTTTGACCTTCAATCTTTCCCAGCATCAGGGTCTTCTCCAGTGAGTGCTCCCTTCTCATTTGGTGGCCAAAGTATTGGAGCTTCAGTTTCATTATCTGGCCTTCCAGGGAACAGTCAGGGTTGATTTCTTTTAGGATTGACTGATTTGATCTTCTTGCAGGCAAAGGGACTCTCAAGAGTCTTCTCCAGCACCAGAGTTCAAAAGAATCTATTCTTCGGCGCTCGGCCTTCATTATAGTCCAACTCTCACAGCCATACATGACTACTGGGAATACCATTGCTTTGACCATGCGGACTTTTGTTGGACATTTTTACTTGGCATAAAATTATCAGAAATAGCATATTAAAAATATAGTGTATCCAAACAATTATTACAAACAGAATACCCACCCACATGCAAAAACAAAACTGAAACCTTTTTATTTTCTTCTGACAATAGCACCTCCTAAAGGAAGAAATGCATCTTGTTCTTGCATGGGCGAGTTCAGTTTGTAACTTAGGACTTGCTTGTCCTCAATGCACAGAAATTAGATCAATCTGATACCATATATATATATTTTAGAAATGATTTGGAAAATATTTGAACACCTTATCTTAAAATATTTTATTCATCATGTTAAAATAAAACGTTCCATAATCATTTTTTTTCTTTTCTTTTTGCAATTTTCCCAATTTTTCAGAAAAAAAACAAAAAAGGCTTCAGGAAAAAAATGAAGAAAAAAAACGTGGTTTTTTCCTGAATTTTTCCGATTTTTTTTCCTGGCCTTCACATCTCTAACACAGCGTAGCATCCAGACAAGAATAAAAGAACATGAAAGACACCACAGACTTAGCCAAGGTGGAGAATCAGCAGTGGCTGAACATAGCCTAACTCAAGCAGGACACAGTATCTTATTCCAAGACACTGAAATGCTGGACAACACATCCAATTACCATGTCAGGTTACACAGGGAAGCCATTGAAATTCATAAACACAATTTCAACAGAAGAGAGTTTAAAAATAAAATAGGGCATGGTTTCCTGTCCTGAAAAACAAAAAATGCTACATCTTACAGCAGTACTACAGATAAGATTAGAATTTCAACAGCCAATCTATATGCAAAAGAACCTCCTCAGGAAAGCTCCTCCATTAGCATGTCACAGCCTGGGAAACTCCTACAAGACAATGACTCAGCCCTACCCTACCTTCCTGAGTAGACATAAATGACCTGCCTACCATTTTTCTTCTCACATTGACACAGCGAGTACTCCATCTTTCTGCGTTATACCTCTGAGGATGCCAGTCACAGCTGCTGGTGAAATGTGGGGTACTACAATGCCAAGACCACGGCCATACAGCCCGGAAAATCTACAACAGCTAGATTCTGGGGTTAGCTTCACTTTTTCTATGCAATACTATAACATTAGGCATTAAACAGTCCTTCTGGAAACCAAAAACCCTCTCATGCGGAAAGATACTTTTGGCTCCAGCCCAACATATCTCAGCCAAAGCCACATACTCTTGCTTCCCAGTTGTATAGCACTTCAACAGACAAATTCATAAACTAATTAGAACCTGGGAGTATTTTAAATGGAATTAAAAAACCAAGTTTTGAGAATTCTTATTTCGCCTTCACAACATACACTCAGAAATTAACCTTCACATTTGGCTAATGAAACAAGAAACACTCCAAGACGGTGGTTTGCCCAAGGCCATCTTGCTTTGGCTCAACTGTAATATGGCATCTGTGTTTTCCTGCTTGAGTTTTGACACTGTAACGTCTAACTGGAAGAGCTTCCCCATGTTACTCCTTATAAAAACGGGATACAGATCACAACCTCCAGAGGCTAAATGATCATCATTTAATGTCACTCTTCCTGGAAATCATTAATGCATAGGGTCGCCATAAGTCGGAAGTGACTTGACAGAACTTTATTTATTTATTTATTTCAATTTGCTAGGCTGCCCTTCCCTGAGGCAGGGCTCAGGGCGGCTTACATCGAAGCAGGGGTCATTTCGTAGAAAAAGAGCTAGGGGAACTCATTAGCATAACTCATTCGCATATGCCACACCCCCTGACATCAGGGGCCCGGCGGTGGACCTGCAAGGCCAGCGGGAGTGCGAGAAAGCCCCGCCAAGGCCCTCCCTGGCCCCAGGCAGGGGTGGGGAGAAGCGGGGAGGAAGCAACTTACCCTCCCTCTTCTCCTGCCTCCTCCTGGCTGAATGAGGGCTGGAAGCGGGGCGGCCGGAAGCAGGGGGCGGGGCTTCGTCATGTGCCCCGCCCCCTGCACCTCACCTGGGGAACTGCGTTCCCCCGTGTCCCCCCCCGAAATGACCTCTGCATCGAAGCGAATACAATATATAAGAAAAATTAAAACAACATTAAAGTATATTCAAACAATTCATCAGAAAACAATACTGTGTCTAAGATGATGGATAATTTCAGTATCCACCTTCCCCCCGGATAGAGGGGAAAATAGGAGGAAAATGGGGGGAGGTGGGAGTGTGAAATTGCCAGACTGTTGCTGTCCTCAACCGAATGCCTCGCAGAACATCTCTGCCTTGCAAGTAGTAAATCCTGTAGGGCACAGATGTTCTCTGGCAGAGAGTTCCACCAGGCAGGGGTCAGGGTGGAAAAGGCCCTGGATCTAGTTGAGGACAGCTAGATCTCTCTCGGGCCAAGGACCACTAGGAAATTCTTATTACTAGACCGTAATGCACTTCCAGGGACATATTGGGAAAGATGGTCCCAAAGACATTTAGGTCCCTGACCACTAATGGCGTTGAAGGTCAAAACCAAGACCTTGAACCGGATCCAGTGCTCCACTGGAGCCAGTGCAGCTCACGTAGCACTGAATGAATGTGTGCCATTCGAGGGGTCCCTGTAAGGACCCACGCAGCTGCATTCTGGACCAGTTGCAGCTTCCAAGTCAGGCAAAAGGGTAGGCCAGCATAGAGCAAATTACAGTAGTCTATCCTGGAGGTGACCATTGCAGGGATTACTGTGGCTAGGTTGAGGCAAGACAGGTAGGCAGCCAATTTCCTAATCTGGCACAGTTGGAAAAACACCAGCTTGGCAACATTTGCAACCTGCACCTCCATAGAGGAGGTAGCATCCACGATCATGCTCAGACTCTTGACTGTCAGAGCCCCATCAAGAGCTGGGAGTTGACGACCCAACTGTGGCTCCCCCCAACCCAGCCAGAGAACCTCCGTCTTACCCAGATTCAGTTTAACACAGATGCAAGGATTGTACCCAAAAGAGATGCAGACTCCAAACCACCACTGCACAACCTAGATTGTTAATGGTTTTTGATAAGTAAGGAAAGAGTTGTCTTAATGCTTCTTTGACCTTTTATCTGAAGCATTCCTTAAACTGGGCACAATCTGTCAATGAAATTAACACGAGCTTGCGACATTCTCTTGCACAATGCCACTTCCACAGTAGAATTCTTGTTACCCTCACCAGGAAACACAAGTGACTAGAAAAAAATCTTCAATTGTAATTTATTAATAAATTATCTCAAAGATTAATAAATGAACTCAAGCATACCTTTACCAAAATGTCTTTTACCACTTGGTGACTGTCATTATGTACGCTAATGTAGCTGGAAAATGTCTCTCCTAAGAATATATTTCTGTTCAAAGGGAAGGGTGGTGGTGGAGAAAAAAGAAAGCACTTAAATGATGTATACATAGCTCAAGTTATTGTCTATCCTTAATAATTACAGATATTTCAGGGACCAGACTCAGAATCTACCAATATGCAGCCCATAAGAACATAAGAGAAACCAAGTTGGATCAGGCCAATGGCCCATCCAGTCCAACAAGCTGTGTCACACAGTGGCCAAAACCCAGGTGTCATCAGGATGTCCACCAGCGGGGCCAGAACACTAGAAGCCCTCCCACTGTTGCTCCCCAAGCACCAAGAACACAGAGCATCACTACCCCAAACATAGTGCTCCATCTATATGTTGTGGCTAATAGCCATTGATGAACTTCTGCTCCATATGTTTGTCCCAGTCACCTCTTGAAGCTGTCTATGCTTGTATCTGCCACCACTTTGTGTGGCAGTGAATTCCACGTGTTATTTACTCTTTAGGTGAAGAAGTACTTCCTTTTATCTATTCTAAGCCTACTGCTCATTAATTTAATTGAGTGCCCACAAGTTCTTGCATTGTGAGAAAGGGAGAAAAATATCCCATGCATAATTTTGTAAACCTCTATCATGTCACCCCTCAATTATCATTTCTCCAAGCTAAAAAGCCCTAACCTCTTTAACATTTTTGATAGGGTATTTTGATCCTCTTAATCATTTTAGTTGCCCTTTTCTAATGCTATAATATCTTGAGATACAGTGACCAGACCTGTACACAGTACTCCAAATGAGGCCACGCTACAGATTTATACAGGGGCATTATGATACTGTCTGATGTGTTTTCAATCCCCAGCATAGCATTTGCCTTTTTTTATTGCAGTCGCACACTGACAATCTACCATGACTCCAAGATCTCCCTCCTGGTCAGTTACTTCGGACTCCACCAATGTATATTTATAGTTGCGATTTTTGGCTCCAATGTGCATTACTTTGCACTTGCCCACGTTGACCCTCATTTGCCACACTGACACCCACTTGCCCAGCCTCAACAGATCCCTCTGGAGCTCTTCACAGTCTTCCTTGTTCTCACCGCCCTAAACAACTTAGTGTCATCCGCAAATTGAGTCACTTCACTGCTTACTCCCAACTCCAAATCATTAATGAAGAAGTTAAAAAGCACCAAATCTAGGACTGAGCCCTGCGGTACCCCACTGCTTACCACCCTCCACTGTGAAAATTGCCCACTTATACCCACCCTCTGTTTCCTGTTAATCAACCAGTTTTTAATCCACAAGAGGCCTTGTCGTCTTATCCCATGGCTGCTGAGTTTACTTAGGAGCCTTTGATGAAGAACTTTATCAAAAGCTCTCTGAAAGTCTAGGTAAACAACATCGATTGGGTCACCCTTGTCCATGTGTTTGTTCACCTCCTCAAAGAACTCTAAAAGGTGAGACAAGATCTCCCCTTACAGAATCCATGCTGATCTTCCCCAATAGCTTTTGTTCAGCAATGTGCCTACTAATTCTATCTTTATTAACGGATTCCACCAACTTACCCAGTATCAACGTTAGACCGACCAGCCGGTAATTTTCCGGATCTCCTCTGGAACCTTTTTTAAAGATGGGGGTTACATTAGCTACCTTCCAGTCCTTGGGAATGGAGGCAGATTTTAAATTGCATGTTTTTGTCAGTTCCGCTTGTATTGTGCCCAGCATAAATTACATGGAAGGTATTGTCTCATAATTGTACAAAAACGGAATAACTAACGTGTAAGATGCAGTCTCTCTGCTAGCCACAGCCAAGAGCTGATTGGTGGATTCATTTTCACTTGATTCCAAAGGCGGAGTCAACTAAGGGTTTACGGGTTTAAAAAATGAAGCTTTAAATTAACAAATATATTTAAATTCTGAACACAAACTTTGTAATTATTATTATTAATTAAAGACATGAAGTGCATGTGGGGGTGACACTGATGGAGTATAGTGGATGGTTTTGGGGAACACCAAAGCTTATTGCAGTGTCTGGATGTAGACTTCTGTGGGCTGGTGGTTGCTCAATATACTTTACTAGAAATAATGCCCGTTGCGGAAATAAATACAACGGGATCTAGAAAGAGGCTCTGGGAGAGTGCTCTGGCTTTGGGCAAACAGTGTCAGTTTCCTGTGGCGACCTCAGCAGGGTTTAATGACAGAGTCCACTGTTTTCTCCAGAGGGACTGATTTCTGCTACCTGAAGAGCATTTGTATGTTTGAGTTATCTGTAGCCCTCACCTGGAGAGTGGTAACCATTGTTACCCATTCTCCTCTCCCCTATGAGGTATGTTATGCAACTGAAAATTCCAACTGCCTTGCGGGGGGGGGGGAGTTTGAGGGGTGGAATGGACTGAAGTCCAATCAGCTTCCACATGCAAAAGACCAGGTTGTCGCAGCAGTTGTGGTGTGGGCGGGACCCGGGCTTTGCCTTCTGATTGGTGGCGATATATGCTGAGGAGCAGTGCCATCAGCCATACACTAAGGGAGTGCATTTTAGAATTAGAACTTTGGCACCCACTATTCAATTATATATAAGGACAGATTCTCACCAGCTCCAGCTCCCAAGAAGGCCAGATCACGTGTTGGACATGCAAAGCTGCCTTATACTGACTCAGAGCACTGGTCTAGCAAGATCAGTATTGCCCACTCAGATTGGCAGCACTTCTCCAGGGTCCCAGGCAAAGGTCTTTCACATCACCTCCTACCTGATCCTTTCAACTGGAGATTCTGGGCACTGAACCAGAGAGCTTTGGCATGCCAAGCAGGTGATCGGTCAATGAACCATGCCCTCAACCCCTACGAATGTTTACAGATTTGCCACTGATTCAAAGTTAGTAGCCTTGATGCCTGGCTTGTTAATCCCAAAACTATTAAAATAGTGCTGGTGAGCAACTCTTGAAAATAGCTTGTTGCTACAGAAAAGCTTATTGCTTTACATAACATGCTTTATGCATGGGCTAGAGACAGGGAAGTAAAAATAGGCCAAGGCTGAGGTCCTACTTATGCTTGCTAGTGAGAAATCAGTGGCATAGATAGGATTTACGATCATTTTACACCAGACTGAAGTTCCCAAAAAGAATGGTCTCAAACTATAAATCTATATGCAATTCTTACCCAAAGTTCTGAGGCAAAGTCAACATTTCTCCAAGCATTAGTGTTTCTGCCCCTTTTACAGTAGAAGGATCATCTTTCATTAACTGGTTGAGCAGGTCTCCTGCAAAAATACAAAAATGAGTCAGATATGTCATTGTCAACCTTTTTAGATCCAGGACCTAATACTCCAATCTGGTACTGAGACCCTGTTTTAACGGTTTGACCTTTTTCTTCTCTGTAGTGTAACCAGATGCAAAGGAGGCTCCTTAACTCTTCTTAGGTGTACAGAATTTTGGTAGGTGCGTAAGAACATAAGAGAAGCCAATGTTGGATCAGGCCAATGGCCCATCTAGTCCAACACTCTGTCACACAGTGGCCAAAAATACCAGGTGCCATCAGGAAGCCCAGCAGTGGGGCCAGGACACTAGAAGCCCTCCCACTGTTGCCCCCCTCCAGCACCAAGAATATAGTGCATCACTTGCCCCAGCCTGAGAGTTCCTATCTATACCTTGTGGCTAATAGCCACTGATGGACCTCTGCGCCATATGCTTATCTAATTCCTTCTTGAAGCTGTCCATGCTTGTAGCCACCGCCACCTCCTGTGGCAATGAATTCCATGTGTTAATCACTCTTTTTCTTACTCCCTAGTAGTTTTTCTTACTCCCGTGTATCAAGCTGCCACAAGCCCCTCCTTGCATAACCTTTACTAATAAAAAGGGCCTGTTCTTTGCATTTGGTCTCTTCCTAGCTCTCTCCTAAAACAAGAAACCTTAAACAAACCAGTGGGTGGGGATGCTATAGGTGTGGCTCACTGATAGCCAACGTGGTGTAGTTGCTAGATTTGGTAAGCAGACTTGAGTTCAAATCCCCACTTTGCCATGAAGCCCACTTGGCTGACCTTAGCCCATCACTGCCACCTAGCCTAACCAACCTTTTTGCCCCATGTGTGGGGAGGAAATGCAACATCTGCCTGTGAGTGGTGTGCTGGCAAATAAAATGGGGGGGGGGTTTGGAGGAGGGTTGTACTTGACCTGATGTGCTTGGAGGAGGCTAAGTCCCAAATGGTGCTCCCAACACAACAGGAATCCACTGTCGTCTCACTTGTTGCCATCTTCCCTCACATCAGTGGCCCCAGCAGTGCTACCACTGCCTCAGTTACTTGGGCGAGCAAAATGGTCTGGTTTGCTGCTGTTGGCCTGGATTGCCTACCCTTGTTTTAGTCAATTAATCTTTTTAACTAAGGGGGCATCTCCTATGCATGCCTACCTTGAAGTAAGTGAACTCAGTGGGGTTTACCTCTGAGTACACAAACACAGGATGAAGCTGCAATCCTATGTACAACTACTAGGAAATAGGTCCCTCTGAATGCAGTAAATTTTCCAAATTCTACACTGTTAAGATGTCTCCCCAAGTCATATTTATATTGGCACATAAACAGATTTTTGGCTAATAGTTACTACTACATTTACAGCGAATAAGAAAATTCTACTTCATAAGTTTACTCCACAAAATTATTAACAGCCCAGTCCTACACATATTTACTCAGAAGTATGTCCCATCCAGTTCAATGGGGCTTATTCCCAAGCAAATATAAATCAGGGGTTAGTATGCAACCCTATACATACACATGCAGGTAGTGAAGAAGCAGTGCCATGAGCTGGTGGGAGGGTTGCCCCTTCCTGCTTGGGAAATACCTGGAGATTTGGAGGCAGAGCCATGGGAAGGTGGAATTTGGAGAGGAGAGGGAGATCAGTTATACGTCCAGGAGATCTCCAGTCCCCACCTGGAAGTTGGCAACCCTAGTTGGTGAATAGACTACACCCCCTACCAAATGTAGATAGATCACATTTAAAAATTTGTTCCCTTATGTTAAAAACTCTCTGCATAAAAGACAACCATAGCAAGCAAAGAGAAAGGATACAATCTTTCTAGCTGTCATGGTAATTCTCTATTTGAGCTAAATTTTTTATGTGGAACATTTAAAGCTGTAATCCACCACCTGCAATCTGAAATGGTGCAGTTCCTTCTACAACCACAGGGCTCTGCCTATATCTTCACTCTGCTCTCACTGTCCTGGATGTCTGATCCAGGGCCAAGTCACAATAATTGGATATGAATTGGGAGAATGTATGTAGAAAGCCACCTTCTGTTATAGGACTGCAGTCCTGCAGAGCTTTGTGCTCCAATATGTGGTAGTCTGATGGTGAACTTCGAATCTCCCTATAAAACCTAAACGACTGATGAAACAGTACACAATTATTCAGATTCCAAAGCCTAACAGGGCAATCCTGAACAGTCAATTGAAACTGAAGGGTTTAGGAGGGATTGTAAATTGACTGTGCCTTATCCTAATTAAAAATCCTCCTGTAGTTTGAAATTAATCAGACTATTTTGAACTAGTACTTGCCAGCACCCCTTTTCAGAGTCAGAATTCAAGCTATTTCAGATAATCACCTGGGTTTATTTTTGTAATCTCTGGAATGCAAATCTATAAGTGCTTGTAAGTATTACTCGACACCCAATCTTCATTTACCTGGCAAGTCTCTCTCTTCACAGGTCACAGGGATATTGGTGAACAAGGTAGGCTTGGTTAATCTCATCACTGTGAATTCAAAAAGCAGATTCAAAATGACCATCGACACAGTTTTTGTAAGGCGCTCAACACAAATCACACAGCCTGTTCAGACATTACTCCTTGGCATTCTTTGCAAGTTCAAATCAGGAGGAGACACTTGGTTTACAGGTTCCCTCCCTGCTCCCATCACAGTAGACAGAAACTAACAAGTGAAACAGAGGATTCTGTGCTGAATACAAGCTCTCTCCGACCCTGCAAAATAATTTCCACTGCCAGATACAAAGGGTAAACATGACTCAAGTAAAATATGCCCAACACATGTTGTTTGCCAGAGACTCTACTTTGTCAATGACTACAATGACTCATATGTTCCTGTGTTATCAAGTAAGAAACATGTCAGGGGGAAGATAGGAGTGAAAAGAAGCCCTAACTTCCCCCTCCATCTCTTGTGGAGGTGGGGAAAAGCTAGACCTGCCACAGGGTAATTTTGATTCATTGCCAGGATGTCCAACAAATAAAGTCATTGGTGGGGTTTTCCCTGCGTACCTGAAATCATAATAATGACAAGACTTGACTTTTTAAAAATGTATATTTTTGGTTCTTTTGAAAACAGAAACAGAAAATGATCATAATTTTCAAAGGCATCAGAATGGTAGCTACTATAATCAAATGGATCAAAGCACAGACAGCAGCTGTTTGAGCTCCTTCCTCTTATACTGTTCTCTCTGTGTTCATGCTGAGCACAAAGAAGATACTGAGCAAGCAAATACAGCAGGTGTCAAAGGGAAAAGGGGGGGGGACAAACAAGCACATCCTAAACAATCACCTCCCCCGGGACTCGATAATGTTAAAATGAATCTCCGTGTATAAGGTCTCCATTCAAGTTTCCAGTAATTCTCAAAATGAACATGGTATTCATCAGCACTACAGATCCAATCCTACCATCTACATATGTAAAAGAAAGTCCCCTCACCGTAAAATCAACGCCCAGGCCGAACTGCTGGACCTAGAGACACCAAATTCGGGGAGAGCGCTCCTACCGTGACGAAGATGCTCACTAAGAAGGGATTTTTTTTTAGAATTTCAACCCCTAGGTGGGTCAAAAGGGGTAAAATGTGCCCCCCCCAACTGATTCCTATGCGGCTGCCAGGCTGCTGCCTTCTTGCACCCCTCACTCTCTGATTGGTCAGCTGCAGAGCTCAGTGTTCTGTGGTAAAAAAAAAACAGTTACAGGGGACTACAGAGAGCTAATGACAGTTGAGGAAATCAGGAGTAGCCAACTGCCTGTGAGGTGAAGCAAAGCTGCTGGCCCAGCCTCCCTATGGCTTCAAACATGCTCCCCCCTCCTACACCTGACAGGCAGTAGTCTGTCAGGTGCAGCAGCAGTTGCAGGGTGCTTAAAGTCACGAGGGAGTTACTGCTCCAGCAGTAACACCTTAGTGATCCTGCCAGCCCCACCTCCACAGTAGCTTCTAATACTCCTCCCCCCTTCCTACACTGGACAGGCAGCTGCCTGTCAGGTGTAGGAGAGGAGGTGGGATGCTTACAGCCACCAGGGAGGTTTGCTCAGCAGGACTGCCTTAGCCCTGCTGCTGGCCCAGCCTCCCTGATGCCTTTAAACATGATCCCCCCCAACACCAGACAGGCGGGTGTCAGGTGTAGGAGCAGGACTAGGGTACTTTAATCCATCAGGGATGCCGCCCCAGCAGGATCACCTTAGCGGTGATGCTGGCCCAGCCTCTCTGATGGCTTCCAACACACTCCCCCTGCCTCCTACACCTAACAGGCGGTTGTCTGTCAGGTGCAGCAGCGGTTGCAAGGTGCTTAAATCCATGAGGAAGCCCACCTCAGCAGTCAACAGAGAGGTCCTTCAGTAGCGAAAAAAAAAGTACATATGTCTCACTTAATTTTTTACACTACAATCTTCTCCATTAGAATTCCTACAACAAATGTTACATTTTAAACTTTACATCATCAGTATTATAACTGGATTTACGGAAGTTAAATACCGTAGTGAAGCACGGGTATCAGGCTAGTAGACTATATTTGGCCTAAAGAAATTCTGTAGGCAGCACCTCTGCTTTGGGACCCACTCAATTACTACTAGCCCCATTACTGTGGATACAGACACCATGGAAACAGGTAGAGCACTACACAGCCGAAATCAGTTAAGAATCAGCATTCAAGGACACAAAGAGGCCAGATAACCCACTTAAAGTAAACCTGATGCAAATCACAAAATACTTATCCATGCTGACCAAGTGACTCAGATGGAGTTTAATTAGAAAGTTCAAAATCCACTGCATTAGGCGTCATGAAGCGCATTTAATTCCACTAGGGGTCTCATTCTGATTAAATTTACCTAAAAATACCCTGTTTCCCCGAAAATAAGACCTACCCCAAAAATAAGCCCTAGCAGGATTTCTATGCATTTGTGGTATAAGCCCTAGTGTGTCCTCTTGAGAAAAAATAAATATAAGACAGTGTCTTATTTTCAGGGAAACACGGTATTTGATTCTACTCAGCTTTCTAGTGGGACCTCAAAAGAAGTGGATGACAACCACACACTCCTATAAAGCTTTACCAAAGTCAGGTTCTCCACTGAGAATAACCTATATATGAAGGTTTGTGAAGACAATATTCAGCTAACTATATTGTTATGCAAATTTTCAAGTGATGCAGCAGAGGTCCTAAATCTCTGCCTGGCTCCTGTGGTTAAAAGGCTAAGAGTCAAACTGAAACTAAGCCCTGGAAAGACCGAGGTAATGCTGGCTGGGACGGAAGAGGTCTTGAAGGATATTATGTTTCCCCATTTTTGATGGGGTTCAGCTGACTCAGTTAAGAGCCTTGTATTATACTGGATCCAACACTGCTGATGGAGAAACAAGTCAACGTAGCTGCAAAAAACTCCTTCTTCCAACTCAGCCGAACTAGAAGAAGGTTCCCTACCTCGATATGGATGGTTGGACCACCTGTAACCATTCCACAGTAAAATCAAGACTAGACCTCCATACTGCATTCTCCCCTCAAAGTCAATCCAGAGACTCCAGTTTGTTCAGACTGCTGCAGCCAGTTTGGTGTAGAGCCAGTTTGGTGTAGTGGTTAAGTGTGCGGACTCTAATCTGGGAGAACCGGGTTTGATTCCCCACTCCTCCACTCGCACCTGCTGATGTGACCTTGGGTCAGTCACAAGCTCTGGCACAGCTGTCCTTGAAAAAGAGCCGTTTGTGTCAGAGTTCTCTCAGCCCCACCCAGCTCACAGGGTGTCTGTCGTGGGGAGGGGAAGGGAAAGGCATATGTAAGCCGCTCTGAGAATCCAAGTGAAGGGCGGGGTATAAATCCAATCTCCTCCTCCTCATCATCAGAAGCCAGATGGCACGTGCATATTACCCCCATTCTGCAGTAACTTCGTTGGTTGCCCATGGTTCAGAAAGAAGCTTGGGGTAAAAGTTCAGGGACTGTAGCCTATACCAGTGCGTATAGCTTGTACTATCTACTGCTGCTACTAGGTTCCTATTATGTAATTTTTTCTTTCGTTTCATATGTCATGTTTAATACTTATGCTGTGCTTCACCTCTAGCTGGTTTCTAGATTTCTACAAGTCAAATCCTATTGCATTATCTACTGAAGATACCACTCTGCCGATTGTACTGATTTATTCTGTGTGATCTGTCTTGAGTCCCAGTGAGGAAGGCAGACTATAAATAATGTAAATAAAATAATAAATAAAAACAACATGGTTAGAGTGTGGGACTAGGATCTGTGACACTCACGTTCAGATCCCCACTCTGAAACAAGAGACTTGCTGGATGACCTTAGACCAGTCACACATTCTCATTCTAACCTACTTCACAGGGTTGTTGTGAGGACAAAATACAAGAGATGAAAACAAGGTATGCTGCTTTGGATCCGTATAAGGGAGAAAGATGGGGTATAAATGAAATAAATAAATTCCATTAATTGCAACAGAATTTACTTCCAAATAATTGTACTTAGAATTGGACTGTGTTAGAATTATAAGGTCATGACTCTCAAGTGGATATGAAAGCCAGAAGGACAACAGGAAACAACTTCGTGGTCATCAGCAATGGCAGGGGTGTCAAACATAAGGGCTGGAGGCCAGAACCGGCCCATCCAGGGCTCTTACCTGGCCCTTCAGCAACTGGTATGTAGG